CGACACTCCTCTACCATACCATCATCACCTCCCACCGGTATAGGTCCCGGGGTACCGCGGAATCCCGGCAGCCCACAGCGAGAGTCACCACGACAACCGCTGAGTGCCCATCAGAGTGCTTTCTTCGCCGTGTGTTCCTTCGCAGTGTATTGCCTCGCCTCAATGGTTTGGTCTCTCCTGGTGCGATTGCCTTGGGAGCTGGGATTGGGAGTATTCTTTTGACAAACAGTAATACGATGCTGTTGCCTTGCTTTCGCGACCTCGAGAATGGGTTTGCTGCGGCTCTCCATGCTTAACCCGGAGATAACCTGGAGGCTGATTGGTCCGAGTCCAACTTCCGTTACAAATACCGGAACATAAAGGCCCCGGCATTGCCGCCGGGGCCTTTGCTTTGCTTGTTGACCATGATTACGACCCGGTATGAGATCCGTCCGGCGCCTACTGCCGCCCCCGGGTAACCCTCCGCCTGCGCTGCAGCTGCGAAAGCGCCAGCGAGCCGACCACCAGCACGGCAACGGCGCCGACGATCACGTACATCAGGTTGAAGCCGCTCTCGTTCCTGGCACGGACGTTGAAGCTGTGAGTGGCCTGCCCCGCCGGGCTCTCGATGTCCAGTGTGACTTCCCAGGTGCCCAGGGCGTCGAGGAGCAGGTTGCCCTCGTATAGCTTGGGGACTCTGTGGGGAGTTGAACGCCTCTGTCTCGTCGGGAGTGCCCGCCCCGTCCACCCGAACGCGCACGCTGGCGTCCTCCACCCCCGTCAGGTCTTCGGCATTGAGCAGCAGGACGCTGACGTGCAGCGGCCCGGCAATGGGATCCCCGGGAAGCACTCCAACCCGCAACTGGAATGGGCCCGCAACCTCGTCGATCACCACCAGCTTTACGGAGCCGTTGGCCGATGCAGTTCCGGAGTACAGCCCGGCTGCAACCGCTACGACCGCGAGGAGGCTCAGGAAAAGATGGAAGCGCCCCGAGAATAAGGAAAGCATGGCAGCGGCGTTCAACTAAACCGGCGGCAAACCATTGTCGCGGCGGACGTCGTTGATGATGTCGCGCACCCGCGACTGCAGCGGCGGGTATTCCAGCTCGAACTCGCCCAGCAGCCGGCTGTTGTCCACCAGGTAGTTGCCCGAGTCCTCTTTCCCGCCGTCGGAGTCGAAGGAAATGTCGGCGTCGGGGAGAAAGCCTCGCACCATCTCGGCCAGGTCCCCCAGGCTGATGGGGATGCCCCCGGTGTTGTACACCGAGTGGTGAGGACTGTCGGACAAGGTCACCCTCACGAAGGCCTCGGCAACATCCTCAACGTGGACCGGGAGGCGCATGAAACCGCTCTTGGGGAAGCTCACCGGCTCGCCTGACGCGGGCAGGGTGATGCACATCACGTGATCAGTGGAGCCGCGCACCTTGTCGGGGCCGGTGACGTTGGCCGGGCGGATGCCGGTGATGTTCATTCCATAAACGCTGTTGAACTGCTGTGCCTGGAACTCGTTGAACCGCTTGTGCATGGCGTACTGGCTGGTGCCATGCATCGCGTCGTCCTCGTCAACCATCCTGTCGCCGAAGGCGCTCTGCTGACCGCTGACCGCCACCGAACTGGCGTAGACCACGCGGTCTACGCCGCAGATCCGGGCCGCCTCGAAGCAGTTATCCATGCCCAGCACGTTCAGCTTCATGGTGAAGTGGGGCGTGTCGTCGCCGCTGCCGAGCAGGTAAGCAAGGTTCATGATGCGGTCGGGCCTGGAGGCCAGCACCGCCTTGACCACGTCCTCGAACTCGATGATGTCGCCCCGCATCACGGTTACCAGATCGCCGAACTCAGCGAAGGAAACCGCGTTGGGATTGATGTCCATCACCGCCACTCGTTCGCCGCGCTCGGCCAGCCGGCGCACGGCGCGCCTCCCGATGAACCCGGTGCCGCCCAAAACCAGCGTGGTCATTGCCGCCTCCTGAATTCAGACCCAGTATCACAGTGCGATGTCGATAATCGAGTTTGATCGGCGGTTTGTCAAGGTTGAGGGCGTGGGGCAGGTCATTCGCGTTTCAGCAGATTCGGCTATTCAGCGGTAGCTCATCGCCAAAGACAAGGTCATCACGGTTTGATTTCTCTTTCGGGCAGGCTGAGAGTTTTCGAATAATCAGGTCACACCGGTCTGTTGGCCGCGCACGCATAAGCCGGCCCATGGCGTGGGAATTCCTGGGACAGAAAATCCGGTCATCATTCCCATTTTGTCCCATTCCGTCCCATTTTTCCCATTTCCCCCTCTCCGTCAGCTACGAATTTGGCCGCGAGGGCCAAAAAATTCGGATTCCGTCCCATTCTGTCCCATTCTTCCCACCGGGTTTGTCTGGCGGTTTGACGGAGCCGACGGGATGCCGGGAGGGCCGTATTTCGCGGATCATTCACAGGGTTAATGGTAGAGGGGCGTCATGAGGCTTGGCAAGGAGCAAGCGTCATCAAAGCGCGATTGCCCCAGCGCACGGGGCTGGGGACTTTACCTCGCCATCACCATCTGACAGAATCCCAAGGCAATCCGCCAAAAAGTGGGTACGTAAATGGCAGAGACGTCGCTGCAGGAAAAGGTAGCAATAGTAACGGGCGCCAGCCGGGGGATCGGGAAGGCAATGGCCCTGGGGCTGGCAGAAGCCGGGGCCTCGGTGGTGGTGGCGGCCCGCACCGCCGAGCCGCGGGCAGGGCTGCTTGGAACTATTCACGACACCGTCGCCGAGATCGAGGCCGCTGGCGGGAGAGCGCTGGCCGTCGCCTGCAACGTCCGCGAGGAAGAGAGCATCCGGGATATGGTCAACATCACGCTGGACGAGCTCGGCGCTGTAGACGTGCTGGTCAACAACGCGGGCATCGGCGGCTATGCGCCCTTCCTGCAGATGACGCTGCGGGAGTGGGACCTGAACATGGCCATCAACCTGCGCGCGCCTTTCATCGCCTGCCAGGCCACCGTGCCCATCATGATTGAGCAGGGCGGCGGCAGCATAATCAACGTGTCGTCGCACGCCGCCACCAACATTTTCTCGTCCACCCTCGGCGAGGACCACGACGCGGGCATAGCACTGGTCGGGCAGGCCTACGGGACTGCGAAGGCCGGGCTGGAGCGTTTGACGTGGGGTCTGGCCGCCGAGCTGGGGCCGCACAACATCGCGGTAAACGCCCTGAAGCCGCTGCGCCCGGTGGCCACCGAGGGTTTCCGCGTGCAACGCCCCGACGCCGACTTCTCAACCTGGGCCACGCCCGAAGACATGGCCAAGGCCACCGTCTACCTCGCCTCCCAGGACGCCCGCGGCCTGACCGGCGCCATCATCACCGCCGAGGAACTAGTGCGGCGGCTAGGGTTGTGAGCAAACAAAAAACAGGGGCTGCCAAACAGCAGCCCCGACCCTAACGTCGAATCGACAGGGGAAACTGAGAACCCCTGGAAAGCAGAGGCACCTCGCGGCGTCTCGGACCACTACCTACACTGGATAGTGGGGGGTTCATATACAATTTACTGGCATAAATGCATTATGGTCAACGATTTCAATGACAGCAGTACAGATTTGAAAGGAACTAAAGAATGGACTTCGCCTTCACCCTCGAGCAGCAGGACCTGAAAGACAGCACGCGGCGGCTGGCGGAGGAGCGGATCTCGCCCATCGCCGAGGAGGCCGACGAGTCGGCGACGGTGCATCGCGGGCTGATGGCCATCCTGGCTGAATCGGAGCTGCTGCGTTACACCGTGCCCGAGGACTACGGCGGCTTCGGCGTCCGGGTGATGAACCTGTGCATTATCCGCGAGGAGCTGGCCCGGGTCTCGGCCCAGGCGGACACCAATTTCATCATGCAGGGCCTCGGAAGCTACCCGATCACCCTCGGCGGCACCCACGAGCAGAAGACCCGCTACCTGCCGCCCTTGGCGCGGGGCGAGTCAATCGCCGCCTTTGCCCTCACCGAGCCTCTCTCGGGCTCCGACGTCATCAGCATGACCACTGAGGGCGTGCCCGACGGCGACGACTGGGTGCTCAACGGACGCAAGAAGTTCATCAGCCAGGCCGGAGACGCCTCCACCTACACCGTCTTCGCCAAGACAGACCCCGGCCAGGGCAGCCGCAGCCTGTCGGCATTCATCGTGGAGCACGGCACTCCGGGCTTCGACGACTCGAAACGGCTGGACCTGATGGCGGCCCATCCCATCGGGGAGCCGGTGTTCGAGGACTGCCACATCCCGCAGGGCAATCTTATCGGCGAGCGCGGACAGGGGCTGCGTCTGGCCCTCGGCACCCTGGACACCTTCCGCACCACCGTGGCCGCCGCCGCCATCGGCATGGGCCTGGCCGCCTACGAGGCGGCGCTGGATTACGCCCGCAACCGCTCGATGTTCGGGCAGCAACTCAGCGACTTTCAGGCCACCCAGTTCAAGCTGGCCGACATGGCCGTTTCGCTGGACGCCGCCCGACTGCTGGCCCATCGCGCCGCTTGGCTCAAGGACTCCGGGCAGGCTACCATCATCAAAGAGGCCTCTTTTGCCAAGCTGTTTGCCACCGAGGCGGCTTCCCGCATCGTCAACGAGGCGGTTCAGATCCACGGCGGAGCCGGTCTGGAAAAGGGCAACCGCGTTGAGCGGCTCTACCGTGAGGTACGGGCCCTCACCATCTACGAGGGCACCTCGGAAATACAGCGCCAGACCATAGCGCGCCAGCTGCTGCGGGAATAGCCCCAGGGCTAGCCTCGACCCGGTCCCCGACGCGAGGTAAAAGGCATGGATGATTCCAGGGGCGAGTACACGGTATGGGTGAGGCGCAGATCCGGGTGCTTCGGCGTTCCGGTATCGGGAATATGGCTCTTTTTCACCCTGATGTATTTCTTTACCACAGAGGGTGCTTTCCCCACGGGGAAACTGGAATTCCTCTGGCGTTTCCTCGCCGGGCCACTTAACTTCCTGTTCTGAACCAGCACATTAGACACGGAAGGGAGAATGAAACTCACCTACTTTGGCCACTGCGCCTTCCGATGGGAAACTCCCGGCGGCGTGACCGTTATGGCCGACCCCTACCGCAACCAGTCCGGCCGCTACTGGTTCTCCCGCCTGTTCCCTGAGGTGCATTGCGACCTAGGGCTGATTACTCACGCTCACTTCGACCATGACGCCGCCGACCGCCTGCCTGAGCTGGCATCGGTGCTGCGAATGCCAGGGGAACTCGAGGCCGGCGACCTGCAGGTTCGCGGCGTCCGGGACCTGCACTCGGGGGCATCGCGTCTTCGCGACTTCCCCAATGTGATGTTCCGGCTGGAGGTGAACGGGGTCAGCTACCTGCACATCGGCGACAATCGCGCCGACTGGCCGCCCGAGGTCGCCCGCGCCGTGGGTGAAGTGGACGTGCTTATGGTGACGATCGACGACTCCATCCACCTGCTGACCTACGACGAGGTGGACGGTCTGGTGCAGCGTCTGGAGCCCCGGGTGGTGATTCCCATGCACTATTTCATCCCGGGTCTCTCTGCGTCGGGCAACGACCTGCTCCCGCCGGAGGGCTGGTTGCAACGCCAGCAGACGGTTCGGCGACTCGGTTCGCACCACGCTGACTTTTCAGCGGAGAGCCTGCCAAACAGCACCGAGGTCTGGCTTTTCCAGCCAGCCCCCGATTCAATGACCGCCCCAGAAACAGGGCCAGTCCCGGAGTAGGCTTCCAACCCCATTCCCTCTCCGTCTAGGATAGGATCAGGGTAGCGGCGCCTCTCTTCCTTGCCGTTAATGACCCTGCGCCGTAGAATGCCCCAAAGCCGACAGCATCCCCGGGCCAAGTGCCGGGATAGGAGAGGAACATGGCAGGACTGAACCATCCCTTGGAGAACGTCAGAGTCATCGACCTGGGGCGCCACCAGGCAGGGCCCCGGTGCGCCCTGGTCCTGGCACGCATGGGCGCCGAGGTCATCAAGGTGGAGAGACTGGGCGGCGAGGAGACTCGCTACCACGGCCCCTGGGTCAAGAAGCAGTCCTCCTACTGGGTGCAGTACAACTCCGGCAAGAAGTCCCTCTCCATCGACCTCCGCAAGGAGGAGGGCAAGGAGGTCCTCCGGGAGCTGGTCAAGGTCTCCGACGTGGTGGTGCAGAACTTCAGGCCCGGCACCATCGAGAATATGGGCTTCGGCTACGACGTCCTGAAGGAACTGAACCCCCGCATCATCATGGTCAACGTCTCGGCCTACGGGCAGTTCGGGCCCTACCGGGACAACATCGGCTACGACCCCATCGGCCAGACCATGTCGGGGATAACGATGGTCACCGGCGAGGAGGGGATGCCGCCCATCAGGACGGCGTGCCGATCATCGACCGGATCACGGCATTGCACGCGGCCATCGGGACGCTGGCGGCGCTGCACGAGCGGGAGGTCTCGGGCGAGGGGCAGTCTATGGACGTCTGCCTGGCGGACACGGGGTACTCCATGACCGAGATACCCATCACGGCGTACCACGGCACCAAGATACCGCCCAAGCGTGGCGAGTCGACAGCGCCGCCCTCGGGAATCTACCCGTGCAAGGAGGGCTGGGTCCTGATATCGGCAGGCGACCAGCACCACTGGCACCGGGTGTGCAACGCGCTGGGCAGGCCGGAGTGGCTGGAGGACCCGCGGTTCAACACGAGGCACGAGCGGCTGGCCAATGCTGAGCTGGTGAACGCGGCTATCCGGGAGCTATTGGCCGACCGGACCATGGAGCAGGCCATCGCGCATTTCACGGACCACGACGTGGTGGCGGCGCCGGTGAACACGATACCGCAGGCGGCGGAGGACCCTCACCCGTGGGAGCGTCGGGCGATGGTTGAGGTGCCGGACTTCCTGGCCGGTGAGATCGCGGTGTCGGGCGACTACTGGCACTTCTCGCGCACTCCGGTGAACATAGGGAGTACGCCGCAGGTGGGGGAGCACAACGAGGAGGTGCTGCAGGGCATCCTGGGATACAGCGAGGAAAAGGTCGAGGAGTTCCGCCAAGGCCGCGTCATCTCCGAGGAACACTACTACGACGACATACCCGGATAGCGACGTTGGACGGTTCGACGAAATGAGCGTCACATACGAGAGCGGAGGCGCGGCGACGGCCCTTCGTGGCATCGGCGAGTCGCGGAAGGATGATCGTCCGCATTTGCCGGAGCGCCTGCTCTGGAAGCTGTGGAAGCGTCGGGCCGCCCGTCAGGAAGAGTTCCGCACCGGGGCGGGAGCGCGCATACGGGTGTTGTATCCAGGGCGGTCCGGCACCTCCGCCGGCCCCGACTTCCGGGATGCCCTGATGGATGTGGAGGGCGTCGGTCTGGTGCGTGGGGACGTGGAGATACACCTGCGCCAGCGGGACTGGGACTCACACGGCCACGGGGGATGACCCCAACTACAATGGCGTCATACTTCACGGCGCGCTGGATGTGGGTGACCCGGAAACGGAACTCTCCAGCGGGGCAGCAGCGCCCACTGTATCCCTGTCGCCCCTGTTAGAGGGGGCCGATGACGGGGTGGATGATGCGGATCCGGTCGATTCTAACGACCCCCAGGTAACCGCAGAACTCTGGGAAAGGCTGGCCCGCCGCGGCTACCCGCGCCCGATGAGCGTGGAGGAGGCCGCTGGTCTGCTGGAACGCGCCGGAGACGAGCGGTTCCGGCGCAAGGCTGCCGTGCTGGGCCGCTTCGCATCGGAACAGGGGCCGGAGCAGGCGCTCTATGAAGCGCTGCTTGAGGCTCTCGGCTACCGTTATAACCAGCAGCCCTTTGTAAAGCTGGCCCACGCGGCCCCCGTGGCTGCCCTGCGCCGGGCGGCGCTGCCGGTGCTGGCACAGCAGCGCCCGATGGTGCTGCGCCACTGGCTGCTTGCCGTATCGGGGCTAGCGGATGCCGGACCGGCAGCGCCGCCGCGTCTTCCCGAGGGACTGGGCCCCGCAATGGAAAGGAAAGAGTGGCACCTGTTTCGGGTGCGGCCGTCCAATCACCCCGCGCTGCGAATCAATGGTGCGGCGCAACTGGTGGCCCGTTTCCTGGATGGAGGCCTCCTGTCCGGCTTGGCCAGTTCCTCCGTTGCTCCGAGACAACTCGTCGTCGCCCTGACTGTAGATGGGCAGGACGGCGGGACCGCCGCCATCGGCGCGGGCCGGGCGCGGGACCTGGCGGTCAACGTCGTGCTGCCGATGCTGCACAGCCTGGCGGGAGGCGAGGACTCGCCGCACATGGACACCTACCGTCGCTTTCCCAAGCTGCAGGGCAACGAGGTCCTGGGGGAGATGGTGAGGCAATTGCTGCTGGAGGAATGGCGGCCAGCTGTCAACTCCGCGCGCCGCCAGCAGGGGCTGCTCCACCTGGCCGCCCTGTTGCGGGGCGGCGGGTAGCCGCCGCAGGCGCGGAGGGAGTTTGCCAAGGGGATTGGATGATCAGTACAGGGGCGGGTTTCAGACCCGCCCCTGTGGTTTCGATGCCCCTGTCGCGTTCCTGGGGGGTGAGTACGGCCCGGTTAGTCCGGCTCGGCTAGGGGGATGGCCAGGGAGGTGCGCATGCCGGCGAATGGGGAGCGGGCTATGTGACCGTGGCCCGACAGGTCCTCGGCCACCAGGATGTCGCCCGGTTCCATCTGCACCTTTGAGCCATCGGCGCACTCGAACTCGGCGATGCCCTCCAGGTTGACCACGTACTGCCGCCGCGGGGCGAGTGTGGTAGTCGGAGAAGTTGGGGGCCTCCCGCCGGTTGATGTTGATGTCGCCGGGGCCGACGCGGTCCACGATCCCCTGCATGTCTTCGAAGGAGACTTCCTCGAAGTGGGACTCGCCGTGCATCGCCGGCGAACACTCTGATAATCTTCATCTTCTGCTCTCCGTATGTGAATCAGTCAGTCGGCCAGGGGCACGGCCAGCAGGACCCGGGGCTCGTCGCCCAAGCCGCGAGCGATGTGGCCGTGGCCGGTCAGGTCCTCGGCGACCAGTATGTCGCCGACGCCCATCTGGTACTTGGTGCCGTCGGCGCACTCGAACTCCGACAGGCCGCTCAGGCCAACCACGTACTGGCGGCGCGGCGCAGTGTGGTAGTCGGAGAATGAGGGCGACGGGCGGTTGTTCAGCTGCACGTCGCCGCTGCCCTTGCGCTTGGCAATCTCGGCGAACTCCTCGGGAGTCACCACTTGGAAATGGGACTCGCCATCGTCGCCGGAATAGACGCGGACTATGTTCATGGGAGCTGCTCCTCTTTAGACTCGTTCGGCCCAAGGGCCGCTGGATCCACGCTTTCGCGTGAATGCCTGGGGGTTCATGCCGGGAATGCGAGAGTGCCGGGTTCATGTTTGGAACCACCGAGGGTCCGGTTCCCGCTACTGTTCGGCGAGGGGGACGGTGGCGGTGATGCACCTGCCGCCGCCGATGCTGCGGGTGGTGTGGCCCTTGCCGGTGGTGTCCTCCACCAGCACGTGCGTCGCCGGGGCCGAACTGGTGCACCGACCCGTCGCCGATGCCGATCTCGATGCCACCCTGTACGCAGATGACGTACTGGCGGCGCGGCGCCGGGTGCCAGTCGATGAAGTGTCCCGAGTCCCGCTCGGAGAAGCTGATCGTGGTGACGTTCCTTGGGTTGGACAATTCGGGGTGGTCGGCGATGCTCTGTTCCTCGATGTGGGTCTGGCCGTCGTCGCCGGTGTACATTCGGTAGATTCCCATGCTCTGCTCCTGCGAAAAGTTCTCGAAAAGTTCTATGGTTTACGGGGGTCGGCCTGCCCTAGGCCAGCGGGATCACGGCGCTGATGCTGGGGGTGTCCCCCGGCACGCGGGTGATGTGCCCCTTGCCGGTCAGGTCCTCCACCAGCCGGGCGTCGCCGGGGTTGAAGGTGTGCTTCGTGCCGTCGCCCAACTCGATCTCGACGTTGCCCGAAACCGAGATGATGTACTGCCGCCGTGGCGCGGGATGCCAGTCGATGAAATGCCTGGCTGCCACTCGCGGAAGGTGATGGTCGAGACGGCCATGGCCTCGGACAGGCCGGGGTGATCGGCCATCCTGAGTTCCTCAAGGTGGCTCTGGCCGTCGTCGCCGGAATACAGTCGGTATATGCCCATGACGCCCTCCTGTGCTGGCGCGATGCTGCGGCGTAGCTTAATCGTCGACGCGGCGCGTGGCAACCGGGGGATGGGGGGTGGGTTATGGGCGCGAGGCTACGGCTCCATTGGGTAAGGCGCGTATAACCAGCCCTCCAGCCGGGCAGCATCGAGTTCGGGCATTGCCATGACCTGCGGAGATGCCTGGCGCCTTAGCGGTACGGGGGAAGCCACGTCCGTGTCGCCGGGTCGGTGGAACGTAGACTCGTCCCTGGCCCAGAGGGCGGCTGCCACCGCAGCGACCAGGGAGTCCAGGGCAGTCGTGGCTCTCAAGGTACTGTTCCCTGAACTCGTCCAGGTTCTCCAGCACGACCCCCGAGCGCGTGGACAGCCCGGCCAGGATCTGCTGGCGCAGTTCGTGCCGCCGGACACCGTTCTTGTAGCCCTTGTGCGGCAGGCCGAACGAGTTGATCACCGCGCCGGGCATGGATTCCAGCAGCACCGGGCCGGTTCGCCCCGAATCATCCAGCGGCGGCACCCGGCAGCCCTCTCTCCAGAGCCGGTCCAGCATCTGCATGCCCCGGAAGGTCATGGGAACCATGTTGGGGTTGAACTTGTGCAGGCAGGAGTAGCACTCGGGAAAGTACAGGTCGCCGCGGCGCAGCGGCTCACCATGCTGCGAGCAGAACTCGTCGCGCAGGGCTAGGAATTCCTGGTATTCCATGCCTGCGGCTTCCTGCCACAGTATTGGCATTTCGGTGGCCTTCGGCACCCAGAATTCGGCAAACTGCTGGGGGACCGAATACGGAAAGTCCAGGGCCGCCACTGTCTCCGTAGGCAGTGATGCCAGCAGGTCCGCCAATTCCGCCCGTGGCATCGACCGGGACGAGTGGATGCGCAGGCTCTGTCCTTCCAGCCGGCCCTGGGTCACCCAGGTGGCGTTGTCGGCCTTGGCCCCGCTGAAGTCAACGCCTACAATCATTGGGTTAGAATACAGCAAATTTTGGGCTGGAGGCTGTTTATGGATTTCACGACGCGCCGGGCGAGATACCGGGGGATTCTGGCGGGGGACAAGTGCGTGCACCCCGGGTCGGTGTTCGACCCCATCTCGGCCCGCATTGCCGAGGACCTGGGATTCGAGGTGGGCATGTTCGCCGGGTCCATCGCCTCCTTCACCGTGCTGGGAGCGCCCGACATCGTGGTGCTGACCCTGACCGAGTTCGCCCAGCAGATCCACCGCATCTGCCGCGCCGGCGACCTGTCGTGATGGTGGACGCCGACCACGGATACGGCAACGCGCTCAGCGTGATGCGCACGGTGGAGGAGCTGGAGACCGCCGGCGTCTCGGCCCTGACCATAGAGGATACGGTGCTGCCCGTCAGCTTCGGCGCGAACGGCGCTCAGTTGCTGTCCGTGGAAGAGGGCATCGGCAAGATGAAGGCGGCGCTGGCGGGCCGCACCGATCCGGCGCTGACCATCGCCGGACGCACCAGCGCCCTGCGAATCTCCGGGCTGGAGGATACCATCAAGCGGGTCAAGGCCTACGAGGCCGCCGGCGTGGATGCCATCTTCCTGGCCGGGGCCAACACCCGCGACGAGGTGGCGGCGGTGGCCGCGGAGGTTTCGGTGCCCCTGCTGCTGGGCGGCACCACCGGCGAGCTGCAGGACAAGGAGTGGCTGGGCGCCAATGGCGTCAAGGTGGCGCTGCAGGGGCACCTCCCCTTCTCGGCGGCGGTCAAGGCAGTCTACGACACCCTGAAGGCCCTGCGTGACGGCGTGGCGCCGGCCGACCTGCGGGATAGCCTGGCCCCGGACGAAATGATGGGCCAGTTCACCCGCCGCTCCAGCTACCAGAAATGGACGGCGGATTACCTGAACTGAATTCCCCGACCCCATACTTTTGCGTTAAACTAATGCCTCATTCACATCAATACAGGAGGGAACCAGTGAACGTTTCCTACAACCATCTGCACTTCCGCAGCGCCGACCCCGACGACGCGGCCAAGTTCTATTGCGACAACTTCGGGGCCAAGATCGTGGCCGAGCGGCCGCTGTCCAACACCAAGTCCATCGAGCTGTCGCTGAACGGCACCTACCTGATGACCATATCGGGGCGGGCCCAGGGCGAAGACCCCGTCGCCGGCTCCACCGAGCCGCGCTACGGCCTGGACCACCTGGGATTCCAGACCGACGACATCATGACCCTGGCCGCCACGTTGAAGTCCAACAGCGTCCACTTCAACTGTGAGCCGTGGGTAATGCCCTCCGGTTCCGCCGTGGCCTTCATCGTCGCCCCCGACGAGGTCAGCGTCGAGATCATCCAGCGCCCCGCCTCCGGGGAAGAGAAGGTAGTGCTGGCCTGACAACCAGACCAGGCAGGGTTGTTTTGCCTGTAGGGGCGCACGGTTGTGCGCCCTTACGCATTTTTCGGATCTACAGCCCCGCGAAGAAGTCGGCGCCGACCGTTTCGCCGTCGGCCACCGACGGGTGGGCGCGGACGTAGAACTCCCGCCCCAGGATGCGGGCGGTTACGTTGCGGGGGACGCGGTGGTAGGGCCAGTCGGGGGCCACCTGCGTCCGGTGGCAGAGGATGCAGGCGATCTTGGCTTCCATGTCGCCGTCTCCCGATACGTCCAGCTCCAGGTGCAGCTCTTCGTCAGGCACGCCCTGGAGCTCCTGCTCCGGGCTGGGCATGGGCCAGTCTATGCCCTCGCCGCGCAGGGCCTCGGCCCACTGGCGGCGGAACCCCGCGCGGGCCGCACGCTGTAGAACAGCCGCAGCGGCTGGTACGGCTCCAGGCCGCCCGATAGCTGCTGCGGAAAGGCCGCCGGGTCCGCGGCCAGGTGGAAGGCCGTGGTGGCGTGGTTGCTGATGGCGATGTGGTCGGGGTGGCCGTAGAGACCGTCGGGGCCGAAGGACAGCACCACCTGTGGCCGGAAAGTGCGCATCTCCAGCACCAGCCGCTCCACCACCTCGTCCGTGCTGGCCTTGATGAACGCCCTGGGGTGATCGTTGGCCTCCCACCCCTGCATCCCCGAGTCGCGATATCCCCAGACGTCGTTGCTGTTCAGCCGCAGGGCCCGCACGGCGCAGGAAAGCTCCACCTCGCGGATGTTGCCCAGCGTCTCCCGCGTCGCCGACCCCTCCTGGCGTATTTCGCCCTCCTCGCCCAGCGTGGTGGTGATCAGTCGCACGTCCACGCCCCGGCGGGTGTGGGCAGCGAGGGCCCCGCCTACGGGAAAGGCCTCGTCGTCGGGATGGGCAAAGCAGGCCAGCAACCGGTGTTCGGGCATAGCAACCTTCCGTGTCGAAATTTCAGGGTATATTCTACTATTTCAACTCAGAGCACGTCGCAGATAGTTCTTGGCACATCTAATTTGGTAGGTGTGCCTCTTCAAGACCTTACTCGCACTTTGATAGTGGAATCGGCCTTCTTAATCTCAAACAAATCAGGTTTGGTTTCAATTAGCGTTGACAATTTGCTGGGTCCGTATTTGCTGGACTTAAAACCGGGCTTTAGTTGGTGTAGACGACTACCGACCGCAGCCATGTCTGCCCATCCGCCATTCGCTGCGGTCTCTTTGACGGCCTGCTTTACCGTCTTGCTCCATTCGGAGTGTGCCGAATTTTTGACCTTCTTCTTCGCTGGCTTTGCACTTTCCCTCTGAACGGATGAAGTTTCATGTTTTACCTTAGACTCTGACTTCATTTCCTCGCATTCGGATACTACCGGAGGGACACCATGCGGCGTAAGATCGTTCCGGTTGGCTTTGTGTCCTGACTGCGCCAGTAGGTCCTCAGTGTGAACGAAAATGTTGCATGCGTGAGCAAAAGACTTGATGGTATTGGAGCGACCGACTCCCATCACGAACATCCCCTCCTCACGGATCCGAATTGCCAGTCGGGTGTAGTCGCTGTCACTCGAAACGATGCAGAACCCACCCACGGTTCCTGCGTGAAGCAAGTCCATGGCATCGATAATCAAGGCACTGTCGGTCGCGTTCTTGCCGGTTGTATATCGGAATTGCTGTACGGGCTGTATTGCGTGGGTGTGAAGCGATTCTTTCCACCCGGACATATTCGGTGTCGTCCAGTCACCATAAATCCTGCGTGTAGTTACAATTCCGTATTTTGCCGTTTCAGCCAGTACATGCTCAAGCAAGGACGGTTGCGCGTTGTCGCCGTCAACCAGCATGGCTATCTGGCGAAATTCTGGGGTCATAGATATACGCCTCGTCAGTTAGTGAATTGCAACCTTAGCATGTTATTCGCCTATGTAAGTTGCAGCAAATGTTGATTCCTAGTGAAGGCGTGTATGAGATCACCAGTTGGCGAAATCTTCACTCCTCACTAATATAGTTTCAGACAGCGGGGGTTCCTCTATCAACTGTGGTCCCCAAAACTGCTGACATTTGCCCCTTTACAAGCCTCATGACACATCTTTAGCCTGAATACATCGAAACGCGGGCGGCGGCCCCCGCGGGCCCGGCCCCATCTGGGATTTGTGGGCAACTCCCAATGGGAAAAGGCAGAAATGATCGGAAATGATCGGGAAAAGAAAAATTTTGTGCGCACACGAGTTGAGGATCTTTGGAGGCGCCCGCCCTCCTCCTGAAGTTCTTGTACGAACTTTGCCGGTCTGATATAAGGTCAGTCCTATGGCCTCCGCCCTTTCCTCTCTCCTGAACTGGCGTCCCACCACGCCCTTTTACTATGGCTGGCTGGTCATTGGATTCTCGGCAGCTGGCGCATTCGTGGCCACGGCCATCGCAGGCGTGGTGCTGGGGGGAGTGCAGTCCTACATCCTGGAGGACACCGGCTGGTCGCGCACGAGCATCGGGCTGGCCGCCAGCTGCGGCGTCTGGATGTCGGGATTCTTCGCCCCCTTCGCCGGGCGGCTGGCCGACCGCTACGGGCCCCGCTGGCTGATGCCCGTCGGCGTCATTGTCCTCGGGCTGTCCATGCTGGCCATCGGCGGGGCGCACACCGCCTGGCAGTTCTTCCTCGCCGCGGTCATCGGCCGGGCCGTCAGCCAGCCCTTCCTCATCGGCGTGGTCCCGCGGACGATGGCCGTCAACTTCTTCAACCGCCGACGGAACATTGCCCTGGCGTTGACCGGCATCTACCGCCCCATAAGCGGGGCCCTGATCATTCAGGCCTTCTCAGTCATTGCCTTGCTGGCGGACTGGCGCACGGCCTTCCGCTACCTGGGGTTCTTCAGCCTGGCCCTCGCCGTGCCGACGATCATAATCATGCGGCGGCGGCCGGAGGATATCGGCCTGCTGCCCGACGGCGCTGCCCCGAACTCGTCCGCCACTGGAACATCCCCGGCAAGCGGTGGTTCCGGCCCAGCGGGGCAGGCAGCTCCCCGCAGTGCCGGAGCAGAGGTCAGTTCGACGCGAGGGAGGCGCTGCGAACCCGGGCATTCTGGGTGATGGCCACCGTCACCTTCCTGAAGGTCGCCGCCACATCCGGCCTCGGGTTCAGCCTGGTGCCCCACCTTCGTGAGTTCGCGGGACTTTCAACCCCGCAGGCAGCGGGCGTGCTCAGCATCAGCACTTTCCTGGCCCTGAGCAGCCTGTTCTGGGGACAGTTGGCGCAAAGGCTGACAGCCAGGTGGTGCATAGTGGGGGCGATGGCGCTGTCGGCAACGGCGGCCTTGGCGCTGCTGCGGGTCGATTCGCTGCTCGGGGCCTACGTGTTCGGAGTGCTGTGGGGCCTGTTCCACAGCGGGCTGGAAGTCCTGATGTACATATTGCTTGCCGACTACTTCGGCAGGAACTACACCTACGGCGCCATTGCGGGAACGATGCGGCCATTCGAAGCCGGCGGACTGGGTGTCGGCCAGCTGGTGGGGCCGCTCATCTACGACTTCACCGGCAGCTACACACTGCTCATCCTTTCCTCGTCAGTCCTGCTGTTCTCGTCGTCGGCACTGATGCTGCTCACCCGGCGACCGGTGAGGTCCGAGGCAGCAACCGCGCCGGCCCCCTGAACGGCCTAGGGAGCCGGCGTGTGCACAGTATTCTGGCACCTAGCTGTGGTCATGACGATAGCCGGTGGGGTCATGTCGATGAGCGGCGTGGTCAGAGCGGTCAGGGAGCGGAAGCACCCAGATCCTCCACCAGCACTTTCAGGTGTCCGGACGCGAAGCCCTCGGCGTCCGATGTGTGGATGATCTCCTGCCACGCGTTCAGGTCGTCGGAGTCCCATCCGGCGGTGAGGGTGATGACTTGGTCTGTGTCCCAGTTGTCCGGCGAGAAGACGAGCTGCTGGGGATTGGCCGTCAGATGCCCCTGCGGACTGACCGAAAGCGAGACGGTGACGTTCTCATCCGGTTGCGACCCCAGCCTCATCGTGTAGGTGCCGCTCCCTCCCTCCTCCATCGTGAGGCTGTGGCTGCTGACCACCCCGCGGGGCCAGACTCGTGAGGACCTCGCGGACGAGACGAGTTTTAGTGTCGCGGCTGGGAGGAGAAGGGCGCCAGCGCATTGCCCGCGTCGTCTATGAGCAGGCCTGACACGTCATCCGCGAAGATGTTGTCGTAGGCCACCTCCACGGAGTGTCCCTGCGCGACCGGCGTGTCCATGGTGAAGACCAGCTCGCGGCCGGACACCTCTGCGTCCGTGAAGTAGGGGCGGTGGTCGTCCACAAACACGTCCACCAGTGTCTGCAGGTAGATGCCCACGTCCAGCATCGATGTGGGCAGGGTCCTGATCTCGTGCGCGCGCTGCGTTCTCACTGAACGTGATGATCACCTCGCCCAAAGTCTTTCACCGTCTCGTACGTCCGTGCGCTCTCGCCACTTTTTTCCCGCCAGTGGACGCTGCCCCACCATTTGGCGCTCTGCCGAACACTCTCGGAATGGTCGGTCCGCTCGTCTTCGTGGGGGTCCTCGCGTGCCCCATCGTGTCGTGCCTCCGTTCAGGTCCAGCGCGTTCTCGCCGATTGCAATGCCGTCAGTGTCGTCATCTCCTGCAACGACTGTGTAGGCAAAGACCAGCACGTCGCCGGTGTCGGATTCGCCTTCCTCCCCGTCTGCAGCATTGGCCACCTGGAATTCGGCGGCCCTTGTCCACCCGTCGAAGTCCAGCGCAAGCAGCGGGATCCCGGATACGGTCACCTCGTCGTCGAATTGCATAGTGACGTCGATGGCCTCGCCGTTCTCGTAAGTGCCGTCATCGCCCGGGTTAGACGTAACCGAGACTGAGGTGATATGGACTCTGCCCGCCACCGCTTGCGTGGTCTGGGCGTCAAAGCCGGGGATGGCGTCGACTGCCGCCACGTTCATTCCAGAGGCCTTGACGCTCCCGCTGTCTCCGAATGCGCCGCTCTCCCGGGCTGGCAGCGAAATGCCATCGCCGTCCCGGTCTCCGTCCTGGACATCGTATCCGAACACAAGAACATCGGTGCCGCTGCCCCTGATATAGCTGGCGGCCCTTTCGTCGTCGCCCAGCGTGATTTGAACAGCCGGAGTGCCGGCAACGTCAACCGCTTGGTCAAAGGATACGGACAGTTCGATGGTTTCACCCGACCGGTAAATGCCCCGCCTGGCTGGGGACGAAGTGATCGCCGTGCCGGTGACATACGGACGCCCCGCCACCCTGTGGCCCATGTCGCTGTGAATGCCTGAGACCTGGCCCCGTACCTCGTTCTCCGTTCCCGCCTGGTAAACACGGAACGGGCCGTCAATGCCGTCGCTTTCCCGAGCCATCAGGCCCACTCCGTCATCGTCCCTGTCGGCTGCCTGGACCTCGTAGGCAAAGACCAGGGTGCTGGTGCCGTCCCCCCGGGCGTAGGTGGCGTCCCTGCGGCTCTCGCCACCGCCGAGTTCCAGCCGGATTGTGGGCCTGCCGCGCACGTCCACCGCTTGGTCAAACGTCAGTGACGCCTCGATGGCTTCGCCTTTGCGATAGACTGTCCCTGGGCTGGCGTGGATGTGAAAGCGGAACTCACGACATAGGGAAGCCGCCCGTCGATCCTGTGCCCCTCCTGGTCGGCCAGCCCGGGTATGAAATCGTTGACCAGGCGTCCCCCATCGGGCACACGGACCTCGCCGTTGCCGAGGAACGCCAGCCGCTCCGGGATGGATACGCCGTCGTTGTCCATATCGTCCACTTCCACCCCGTATCTGAAGGTGAGGGTGCTGGTTAAAGATCCCGAGGTGTACTTGGCCAATTCCTGTCTGCCGGTTTCGCCTTCCCCTATCCAGATCGGGATGTCGGGTAGCCCGCTGACGGAGACCACCTGATCGAACGTGATGGAGACCTCTATATGGTCCCTGTACCGGTAGGCGACGCCGTTCGCCGGAGTCGAGGCCATGGCAACGCTGGTTATATACGGGCGGCCGTCGACCATGTGGTCTGCTTGGTCCTCGAGGCCGTCGTATAGAGGGTACATGGCCTGCGAGTCCGTGTTGCCGGAAACGGCTCCGTGAGCGCCAATCCCGTGGATTCCACCCGTGTCATCAACATTACCCCGGCCCAGCCTGATGCCCTCTGGTTCCACATCATCGACTCCAACCTGGTGTGCGAATCGCAGAATGCGCGTCCCGGAGCCGTTCTTGTAATTGGCGTTGACCCACGCATCGTCGCCACCTCCGATCTCCACGCTGACGGCCGCATCCCCATTCACCTGCACCGCGCGGTCGAAGAGGGCCTCGATCTCGATCTCCTCCCCCAGCCGGTATGTTTCGCCGTCAGCCGGCGTGGAGGAAATCGAAAGCTCCTGGACGTAGGGACCACCGTCAACCCTCTGACCGCCGTCCCCCGCGCTGCCAAGGTAGTGATCATTTACCCCTCTGTTGTGCAGCAGGGTCAGGAAGGAGCCGGGCCCGCCATAGTCGGAGTCCGGAATCTCGATCCCGTCCGGATCATAGTCGCTCTCGGAGACCACATATTCGAAGGTCACCGTGTCAGTGCCGCCGCCGCTCACATACGTCGCTGTCTTCCGGACATAGTCCCCGGACGTACCGATCCGAAGCCCGATACTGATCTCTCCCCCTTGGGCGATGACTATTTCCGTAAATTGCTGCTTGATGCGGATAACCTCGCCCGTATGGTACCTGCCGTCGGGCGAGTCGTCCGATGACGCCTCGGTCTGCCTCTCAGGCTCGCTGTCTATCCACGTCATCGCCGCACCGGGGCCGTCGTCATCTGTAATTTGAATGGTGCATGCACCGGCACCGGACCCTCCTGATGAGGCGTTGTCGGCCCCTACCCTGAAAGTCTCGGTAAGCTCCGAGTACACGTCCTCCGTGGTGTAGAAGGTGCGTCCCATCCTGCTGTTCTCGGTCTGGTACCCGTTGCTCGTCTGTCCCACATGGTCCAGCGGGGTGTAGTCGGTCTCGTCCGCAGTGATCGGTGTGGTGGACCAGAACACCTTCATGGTTTCCTTGGCGTCCAGGTATGGCTGTGTGCTTTCGATATGCAGGCTGAACGTATCGCCCTCCTCCACCGGACCTTCGTGACAAGCAATGCCCAGGTAATCGTCGTAGGCCATCGCAGGGGACTGTCCCACCATGATCGCAAGGGCGACAACGGCTGATAGGAGAACTGCCGCCAGGAGAGATAGCCTGGTGCGCCGTAGCAACCGGTCAACTGCGTTCATCTGCAATCTCCCCCCGGACCATGTCACACGTGAATCCGCCAGCTGCGCGGCGACCTGCTGCAAGGCCTGCGACCGGGCGGAAAAACGACAGCCAATGCCGGGCTTGCCTTAATGCGGGTAAGAGGTGGCGGCCCCGCCCTCACCGGAACTGCATCCCACCGACATGCCGCCAGAGAGGGAGTCTAGCGACATAATGTGTAAATTATGTGAAAAAGCACCAATGAATAGTTGAAAATTTGTGAAAAATGGTGCCGTTGTATCCAATAAGCTAAGCCCAACTTGCGCTAGGACAGCCACGCAGCGATGCGAGGGCAAGTTCAGTGCGCATTGGGTTCGCGGTTGCAGATCGGCTGATGAAACTCGGCGCCGCCCGAGATTTGAGCCCTGTACACAGGCCCCAATTGCCCTGCCTCGGGAATTACCACCCGCTCAGCGGTTTGTAGTACAGTACCCGCAAAGGTGATGTCCCTTTTCCGCCCGGTCGACCGGAAAGAGCAGTCTCAGCGGCCGCTCGCGGCTGACCTGCGGGAATGGGCCGCGTCCACCATAAAATCGCCTCAGGGGATCAACTTCCGGTGGCGACTGGCAGCCTACATCTCTACGAGAGGAATCAGATATGAACACTAGCGGAAAGCCGGTAGCGGTCGTAATTGGCGCGACTTCCAAGTGGCAGTCCGACGGCCGCAACACTCACCTGGTCCACGGCGGGGACATCGACGACAGCGACCTGCCCGTGGGTGTTCGCTGGGGCGTGGGTGGGGCCATCTCCCTGAAGTTCGCCCATGAGGGTTTCTTCACAGTACTGACCACCCGCAACGCCGCCAACGCGGCGCCTCTGGAGGCAGCGATTCGGGAGCAGGGCGACGAAGGCATGATCGTCGAGTTGGACCTGGCGCACCGCGACTCCATTTCCGACGCGTTCGCCCGAATCCGGGAAGAGGCTGGTGACCCGCAAGTGCTGGTCTACAACGCCGGGTACCTGGAGGGGCGCGACCTTCCGCCGGAAATGGAACTGATGGAAAACATCCCGTTCGAGATGTACGAGACAGCGCAACATATCGCCAGCAGTGGCCCGTTCTTGGTGGCCAAGGAAGTGCTGCCCGCGATGCGGGAGCAGGGCGAGGGCTCAATTCTGATCTCCAACAACAACTTTTCCCTTCGGGGGCGCAAGCGGCACACCGGGCAGTCGCTGTACTATCCCCGGGTGCTGATGCGCGGGTTTGCGCAGGCGCTGACGGAGGAATACTCCGAGCACGGCGTGCATGTCGCCAACGTGGTTATCGACGGAATGATCGATTCTCCGGGCACGCGGGCAACACCCCGCGCCCAGGAGAACCCCGACCTGCTTATGAATCCGGTCAAGATCGCCGAGGCCTTCTACTACCTGCACACCCAGGACAGGTCCTGCTGGACCCACGAACTCCAGCTGACCCCATTCCCGACGATGCCGAGCTTCTGAGCCGCTCCGCCCGTAAGGGCCGGCCATTCTGAATGCTACTCACAACTGAAACGAATCAACAAGGAGTCTTTCAATGGATGTAGGAATTATGCTGGTCTGTTCCAGCTACGGTTGGGACGAAGGCTCGGACGCAGAGATGTGGAACGAGGAACTGCGTCTCGTGAAAATTGCCGCCGATGCAGGGTTCGACAGCGTCTGGTCCGCGGAACACCACTTCAACGACTATTCCTTCGTGCCTGATAACCTGCAACTTATGACCCACATCGCGGCCACACACCCGGACATCGACGTTGGCACGGCCGCGGTGATCCTGCCTTGGCACAACCCGCTGCGTGTGGCGGAGAACGCCGCAGTCCTCGACATGCTAAGCGGAGGCCGGCTGCGGCTGGGATTCGGCAGGGGCCTGGCCCGGCGGGAATTCGAAGCCTTCGGCATCAGCATGGACGAATCGCGGGAGCGGTTTGATGAAGCGGCGCCGATGATAGTGGAGGCGCTGAAGACCGGCTTCATCGAGGGCGACGGGAAGTATTACAAGCAGCCCCGCGTTGAAATCCGGCCCAGGCCGCAACATTCCTTCGACGGGCGCATATACGCCGTTGCCGCCAGCGACGAGTCCGTAATGTCGGCGGCCAAGCTCGGCGCCCACATCGTCATGTTCGCCGACCGTCCCTGGGAGATGCGGATGCCGGGGATCGAGCGTGGCCGGGAGTTGCACCGGGAGTTCCACGGGACGGAGCCGCCTCCCCTGATGCTCTCGGAGTTCGTGGTTTGCGGCACCGACCTGGAGCAGACCGAGGAAGAGGCGCGCCAGTACCAGGGCAAGTTTGTCGAGAGCAATTTCCATCACTACGAGTTCCTGAGCGACCACTTCAGCCAGGTCAAGGGCTACAACGCCTACCAGCAGAAGGCAGAGATCGCCCGTTCCGCTGGCCTCGAGGGGGCTGTCGAGGGATTCATGAAGGCGGCCAGCTGGGGCACGCCGGACAAGATCCTGCAGGGGCTGGAAGAACGGCGGGAACTGCTGGGCGAGTTCGAATGGAACGTCTCCTTCCGGTTCGGCGGCATTCCCTACGACATCGCGGAGCGAAGCCTGAAGCTCTTCGCCGAAGAGGTGCTGCCCGTCATAAAGTCCTGGTAGCCGCGGACTGAATCCATAGGGCTGGTACCGCAAAATGGGCCTCGTCAGCGCCGACAACGCTGGCGAGGCTTTTGTCACTCACCGGTGGGTGTGCCCCGGCTCGTCGATTCCTTTTCCGTGCCGGTTTCGGCGGTACCCTGGGCGAGATTCGAAGCTGCGCACACTCCTCTCAATATTTCAGCGAACGCCGGTGTGAGTATGTATCTGGAGTTCCGACCATGCGAGTGATGGTTCTCGTAAAGGCCACCCATGACACCGAGGCGGGAATAAATGCCTGCCACAGAATTGCTGGAAGCCATGGGCCAGTTCAACGAGGAATTGGTGAACGCAGGTATCATGCTCTCCGGTGAAGGGCTCTGGCCGTCATCCGAGGGCAAGCGCGTGGCCTTCGACGGCCCGAACCGGACGGTGGAGAACGGTCCCTTTCCAGCCGTCAATGAACTGGTGGCCGGCTTCTGGATCTGGGAAGTGAAGGACATGTACGAGGCGATCGAGTGGGTCAAGCGTTGCCCCAACCCCATGCTCGGCCTCGGCGAAATCGAGATACGTCCCCTGTTCGAGATGTCGGACTTCGGGGACTCTATGAGTCCTGAGCTGAGGGAACGGGAAGACAGGCTCAGAGAGAGCCTGGGCGGTCCCGGCACCTGATCCCACCACCTTTGGGCCGGCGAGGACACTCTCCCCCCGATCTGCTGAAAGAAGCCCCTGGCCAAGCCTCATGACGCTCATCTACCATCGTATGTGGCGCACCCGAAGGCCCGCGATTACAGCACCGCGACCGACGCAGTGAGCAGTTCCGTGTCCATTTCCGACGCCCCGGCCAACCCCGGACCCCGCCGCCCCTCGATCAGCGAATAAGCCCGGAAGTGCACAGAACTGCACACACTTGCCCCCTGAGCTGTCGCAATGCCAGCTTGCGGGACCCCCAATGACTCTGCCCCACTGTCGTAATACACGGCGATCGGAAGTCCAGGGCCGTGCGCCAGGGACGTTCCAAGACTACACCCACGACCTAAAGGGTGGATCGACCTCCTGAATCGGGACGCCGCTTTATGACAGAAGCCGGTTGATCTCCTCCCCGCCGTCTGGTATGTTTGATTCTGGTGTAGCGAACATATGTTCCATAACACCAGCGGTCGCCGACCGCCAACCAAATTACCAGACGAACGAGAGATCCAACACGTATGACCACCACATACCAGTATTCCATGGCGGAAAATGGCAGCCTGCTCTGCACCCGCTCGCAACCGGCCCACGAGCAGACTCGCGGGCTGTTCATCGATGATCGCGACAATGGCTACGGCGCCACGGGTATCACCGATGACTGGGTCCTGCCCGCCAATGCGGTCCAGGGGTTCGGATTCTTCGAGTTCTACCGGGGCGACACTCAGACCTACCACCGCATCCTGATCCTGGATGTCCTGGCCGCAATAGACTCCGGCCAGACGTTGGAAGACCCTGTAGCCCTGGACGTGCGGCACCGTGCATGGCCGGGCATGGACAAGCGGGAGATCGAGCTTGAGATACTGGCGCGACGGCAGCGTGCCGTCGAGGAAGCCCTGCGGCGAGGCCGGGAGAAAAAGGCCCGCGAGGAGCGCGAGAGACGCAGGCGTGAGCAGGAAGCGCAGTGGCGGTCCGAGGTCGAGGCTGTCATCGAGCAGCAGTACGGTCCTCTGGAGGCGCAGATTAACGAGGCCCTGGAGGCCGAGTTCGGCCCCGGGTTCCGGCTCTGATCCATGCGGAATACGCCGGAAGACGACTCCCCGGACTACCTGGCCAACTTCCGCAGGTACTGGCCGGAACACCTGATGCACCTGGCTGTTGGGATGGTCTCGGGTTCGCTGCTCCTCAGCGGTGAGCCTGGGGCCGGCGCGGTCATAATGGCGACGGTCTGGGTGCGGCAGTCCCTGGAGTTCCAGAAACGCCGGGATACACCCGGCATTGACCTGTCCTACCACTTGGCGGGACTCATTTCTGTCGTGGTCATCGGTACCGCTATCGATTCGCTTAAGCTCTACTGGTAGCCCGGCCGGACAGCGCCGACACACTTGTGGCGGCGCTGTTTTCTGCCTCACCATTCGAGAGGGAAGCCGCCCGGTCAGCCCCACAGTCGTTGACGCTCTCAGGTGCTGGTGCTAGATTGGCGCTAAGAAGGATTTGCAAGAGATTGAGACGGAGGGGTGAAATGGATTTTGGACTGTTCAACACGTGGAACGCCTTGTATGAGGGCGACAGGGTTCCCTGGCACCCCGAATACCATGGCGGCAAACTCCTCGAAGAAGACGCATACGTAAAGAACTACGAGGAAATCGATGCCGTGGAGGACATGGGCTGGGACTACATCTGGCTGGGCGGAGGACACTTCTCCAAGCAGGCCAGCATGGACCCCCAGGTGCTCATGCTGGCGGCAGTCATCGCGGAGCGCACCGAGCGCATCAAGATCGGCTCGTCCATTCACCGCCCGGTGATGAAGCAGCCCGACGAAACGCTCTCGGCGGCAGCCCTGCCTCACGAGCGCTACGGCTTCGACAACCTCCTGATGGAAGACCCCATACAGACCGCCGAGCAGGTCGCCATAGTCGACCAGGTCAGCCGGGGACGCTTCATCTACGGCGCGGGCGGGCGCACCCGCGGCTCCGCCACCCGCCGCGAGCAGTTCTTCGAATACCTGGAGGTCATGAAGCAGCTCTGGACCGAGGAGACTTTCACCGGATTCGAGGGTAAGTACTACAACTACCCGGCCTTCTACGAGTCGTACTTGGCCATTCCCAAGCCTTACCAGAAGCCGTACCCGCCCATGCTCCTGCCGGTGGACAGCCAGGAGAGCTTCGTGCCCATGGGTGAGCAGGGCTACCGCATCGCCATCGGCGCGGGCAGCTCCCCCCACAACCCCCGGGGCTCGGCGGTGTTGAAAGAGGACGTACAAGCTTACCGCAAGGCATGGATCGACGCGGGGCACCCCGGAGACCCGACCACCGTCGTCCGCATCCCCACGCTGTTGGCCGAAACCAAGGAAGAGGCCGACCGCCAGACCGAAAACCTGATGAGCCTCGCCCGCCGCTACTACTCCGGCCGGGTGGCCATCGGCAGCACCGACGCCGGCACGGCCAGCCCCGAAGCGACCGAGGAGGTCAACCTGTTCGGAACGCCGGAGGAGGTCTGCGACAAGATCGAGATGCTCCGCGACGACTTCAGCACCGACGAGATCATGTTCGAAGTAAACTGGACATCGTCGGTACCCCGGGAAGTCGTGATGAACACCATGAAGTGTCTAACCGACAAGGTAATTCCCAAGTTCAAGTAATTCCCCCGAACCCGGACAGGGTTTAGTTTCGGTGCAGATCAGATTTCAACGCCCGGGGATGACATCTCGTGTCTCCGGGCGTTTGACTTGTCCCTGTTTGCGGTACAATTGCACCACTCCCCGTGGTGGGGAGCCGTGCTCTCGCGCAACCTGCCGCGGTTCGGTCAAAACGGAGAGGCAGCTCTGACTACGCCAGCTACCAGGAACCCACGATACGAGGTGGACGAGAGCCCGCCTGTCCTCGCGTCGGCGGGCTATGGCGCGCAGTTCAGCCTGATCGCCTCGGCCACTCTGCTGGTCACCCCCGTGATCGTGGCCAGGGAGTCGGGGCTGGGAGACTCCTACCTGATTTGGATGGTCTTTGCCTCTCTGATTGTCGTTGGTCTCTCAACGCTGATCCAGGTGCGGCGCATCGGGCCGGTTGGGGCCAACGCCCTGCTGCCCATGTTTACTGCCGCAGTCTCCATTCCCTTCTGCATCACGGCGGTGGTGGACGGCGGTCCGGGAACGCTGGTGAGCCTGGTCATTCTGACGGCAATCATTCAGCTGGTCATATCCAGGTGGGTGGTGATACTCCGGCGCATCGTAACCCCGACCGTGAGCGGGATCGTAATCATGATCCTGTCCGTCACCCTCGCCTCCGTTGTGTTCGCCCTGATGGATGGCTCGGCGCAGGAGGAGCCGGTGGCGGCACCCCTGACGGCGCTCATCACCCTCGTGGTGGTCGCGGCCCTCAGTCTGCGTCGCTCGGCTGTCATACGCCTGTGGGGGCCGGTGATTGGCATCGTTGCCGGATGTATCGCCGCGGCAGCGCTGGGGATCTTCGACCTCTCTCTGGTTATCGAGGCCCCGTGGGTGGGAGTTCCAACCGACCTGCCGGACCTTTCCCCGGACTTTGGGATCGCATTCTGGGCGCTGCTGCCCTCCTTCCTGTTCCTGGGGATAATCTTTTCCATTCACTCCAACGGCGAGACCATCGCGCAGCAACGGGTGGCGTGGCGGGACGACCGCGCGGTGGACTTCCGACAGGTGCAGGGCGGGATGACCGGGTCCGGCGTGAGCAACCTGCTTGCCGGTTTCTGCGGAGCGGTCCCCAACATCATCAATTCCGGCATTATCTCCTTCAGCCAGACCACGGGAATGGCCTCTCGCCGGGTGGGGTACTGCATTGCCCTGATCTTCATCGCGGTGGCGTTCCTTCCGAAGGTATCCGGCCTTATCGCCTCCATTCCAGCCCCGGTGATGACAGGTTACCTGATGCTGGTGACAGGTACCCTGCTGGTTGACGGTACAAGGTCAGTCATCCAGAACGAACCGAACCGCCAGAAGGTGGTGGTCGCGGGAATCTGTTTCTGGATAGGGGCTTCGTTCCACTTCAACCTGTTCTACCTGCCGTCCTTCGGCGCCGTCTGGGACACTCTGTTCAAGAGCGCGATAACGACTGGGGGCTTGGCGGCAATCATCATGGTCCTATACCTGGAGTTGACCAGCCCCAGGCGGATGCGGTTCCAGTCGCGTCTGCACATCGATTCCCTGCCCGACCTGAACGAGTTCATGGCGCGGTTCGCTGCCAGCAGGGGCTGGAACGATTCCATGAAGGACCGGCTCAGCGCCGTTGCCGAGGAAACTCTTCTGACCCTGTCGCCTCTGGACCTGAGCCTGGATGTCGAGGAGGACGACTCTGAGGACAACGGTCGCACCCTGATTGTGCTGGCGGCCAGCGAAGGGGCCGTTGCCGATCTGGAGTTCATAGGGGGCGGAAACGAGGCGAACCTCGAGGACCGCATCAGGCAGCTGCAGCAGCACGACACACAGGACCCGGTGGAGGAGGAGCTGTCGCTGCGACTGCTCCGGAGCTTCGCCCAGTCGGTTCGGCACCAGCAGTATCACGACACCGACATCATCTCGGTACGGGTCGGCCAGCCGTAGCGACGGTGCTCCGTGTTCGTCAGTGTCCCGACAGCAGTCTCCGGATTCAGCGAAATCCGCTATTGGGCGTTCTGCACTCAAGAAATCGGGAACCCCAGTCTTCTGAATTCCTGCGTGTCAGGCATCGTTATGGCCGGAATGCACACAGGTTAGCCGCCTCTTGGTTCGATTGACGCATACTCCCCGCCAAGCCTAGAATAACCTTGTTCCTACGTGTATAAGCCTCCACGGGAGATCTTTTGTATGGTTCAGACGAAAACCGACGTTGAATTAATCGCCCATCTCCTGCGGCGGGCCGGTTTCGGGGCAACCCGAGATGAGTTGGCGAACTTCTCGGCCATGGGCTACGAGGCCGCTGTCGATGAATTGCTGGCCCCCAGGGACGAGCGGCGTATCAGCGACTACCTGGTCCGGCGCTTTCACCCCGAGCTGTCGGGGATGATGGGCCCACAGGCCCCCGCCGAGAACTGGCTGTACCGCATGGCGACCACCTCCGCGCCGCTGCAGGAAAAGATGACCCTTTTCTGGCACGGCATCTTCGCCACCGGCTACAACAAGGTGATCCACGGCAAGGCGCTGTCCGACCAGACCCGGATGTTCCGCCACTACGCCATGGGCAGCTTCCGAGACCTGCTGATCGAGCTGTCCAGGGACCCGGCAATGATCATCTGGCTGGACAACCAGGACAACCACAAGGGCGCTATCAACGAGAACTTCGGGCGCGAGCTCTTGGAACTGTTCTCAATGGGTGTGGGTAGCTACTCCGAGGAGGACATCAAGGAGTGCGCCCGCGCCTTCACCGGCTGGACCATTGCCAACAGGGAATACATGGAGATGCGCTCCCAGCGCGACTCCGACTGGCCCTACGGCCGCATCTCGTGGCACTTCGAATTCCACCCCGATGACCACGACTTCGGTGAAAAGACGTTCCTGGGCGAGACGGGCAACTTCAACGGCGAGGACATCGTAGACATCATCTGCAAGCAGCCCGCGACCGCCCGTTTCATCGCCCGCCACCTGTACAGCTTTTTCGTGACCGACGAGCCGCCGGTGCCCGAATGGCCCTACACACCGCCGCGCGACCCCGAGGCCATAGAGACGCTGGTGCAGGCCTACTTCGACAACGACTACAACATCGGCGCCACAGTTGGGGTGCTGTTCAACTCCGACTTCTTCAAGTCGGTAGGCATCCGCTATACCAAGGTCAAGAGCCCCGTGGAGCTGGTTGCCGGCGTACTGCGTCTGACCGGCGAGTTCGACCGGCCCCGCTACGAGATCCTGGACCGGTACAACCAGGCGTCCTACATGGGCCAGATTCTCAACAACCCGCCCAGCGTCGAGGGCTGGCACCAGGGCACCGACTGGCTGGACAGCGGCACGCTGGTGGAGCGGATCAACTTCGCCAGCCAGCAGATCGGCGACGCGGACAAGCCTGGCATCCAGGCCATGATCGGCCGCATTTCCGCTGGCCTGAGCGAGACCACCTCCCCGGAGCGGCTGGTGGACGCCTGCCTGGAGGAAGTCGGATCGCTTGAGGTGGACGAGGACACCCGCCGGACCCTGGTGGAGTTTTCCGCCCAGGGCAGCACGGGGGCCAACACCGACCGCCAGCACATCGCCGACGTGCTCCAGATGGTGGCGGCCACCCAGGAGTTCCAACGGTCGTAGCAATCACCGAGTTGGCAGGATCTCCCCAAGTTGACCACGCAGAGCATAAAACTGAAACAAGATTCAACGCAGGCCAGGCCTTCGGCGGAGCCGCTGGGCCCCATCGTGCTGCGGCTTGATCCCATCGTGCAGCTCACCGACGACGTGTTGGGCAGGCTGAGTTCGCTGAACGACACACTGCGCCTCGAGCGCAACTCCCAAGGAGAGCTGGAAGTCTTGCCCCCAACCCTTCCCACTTCCGGGAACCAGAATTCCCGCATCAACAAAAGCTTGTGGTATTGGGCTGAAGCCGACAGCAAGGGCGAGGTGTTCGACTCATCAACAGCTTTACCCTGCCCAACGGCGCGGTGCGCTCCCCTGACGCATCCTGGATCCTTAAGTCTCGCTTGGCAGCCTTGACCGACGATCGGAAGGAGGGGTTCTTGCACATCGCTCCCGACTTTGTAATCGAGTTGCGCTCCAGTTCCGACAACCTTCGTGGCCTGCAACGCAAGATGGATGAATACATCGAAAACGGCGTCCGGCTGGGCTGGCTCATAGATCCGCTGGACCCACAGCACCGGGTGTACATTTACCGCCCAGGCGCGGAAGCCGAGATACTGGAATCACCCGAAACCCTCTCAGGCGATCCAGAGTTGACGGGCTTCTTGCTGGACCTGAAGGCCGTCTGGGAACCCGGATTCTGACCGACCCCGCCAAATTCAACGCCGAGGTGCGGCAATGACCACAGCGCAAAAGACAAGGGTCCTGGAATACTCCCACACCATGGGCATGACGGTGATGGAGGGTAAGGGCTTCTACTACCCCGTGGACACTGCGGTCGGCAAGGACGACCGCCTCTATGTCATCAGCCGCAGCAAGGAGGAGACCGCCCGCGGCATCCGTGTCACCATGTGCGACGCGGAGAGCGGGTACTACGGCAACTTCGGCGGCTATGGGCGCGACGGCGGCAGGTTCGTCTGGCCCGCCTGCGGAGCGGTGGACTCACAGGGCCGCTACTTCATCAGCGACGAAAAGCTGAACCGCATCACTGCCTATGACGATGGCGGCAGCTACCTGTTCCACTGGGGCGAGTCCGGCTCCGGCGATGGGCAGCTGGACACGCCGTCGGGTCTCGCCTTCGACAGCCAGGACAACATCTACGTGTCCGACACGTTCAACAACCGCGTGCAGAAATACACTGCCGACGGCCGCCACCTGCTTACCATCAGCGGCGAGGGCGAGCGCGGAGTCAGCCTGCCCTGGGGCTTGACGTGCGACTCGCAGGACAACGTCTACGTTGCGGACTTCGGCAACGACGCCGTCAAGAAGTTCTCACCCGACGGCGAGTTCTTAGCCGCCTTCGGCTGCTCGGGCCGGGGCGAGGGCCAGTTCACCCGCCCCGCTGGTGTTGCCGTCGCCCGCGATGGTTACATCTACGTCGCCGACTGGGGCAACGAGCGGGTGCAGGTGCTGGACGCCCAGGGGAACTTCGTCCAGTTGCTGCGCGGCGAAGGCACAATCTCCGAATGGGCTGCCAACTTCCTCAGCATCAACAGGGAGGAAGCCGCGGCCCGGGCCACCGCCGACCTCGACATGGAGATTGAATACTTCATCGACGACCCCCACGAGGAATCGTCCCACATCGAAAAATATTTCTGGTGCCCCTCCTCGGTCAGGCTGGACAGCCAGGGTCGCCTGTACGTGACCGAAACCAACCGGCACCGCATCCAGATATACCAGAGAGCCCGGTAAGTCACTCCGGCGGTCTTTCCCGGTATCTGGAATCAGTCGCAATAACGAACACAACCCGGAAGGAGCAGGTCAATGGTTTCCACCAGGAAGGAGCGCACGCTGGTCGTCATCGAGCTCAACGGCGGCAACGACGCGCTGAACACGGTAGTACCCTTCAACAACAGCCTGTATTACGACCATCGCCCCGGCATCGGCATTGCCCAGCAGGACGTGCTGCCCCTCGGGACGAAAGGGGAGGCGGGCGAACTCGGCTTCAACCCCAACATGCCTGCGGTCAAGGACCTGTGGGACCGTGGCGAGTTGGCCGTGATCAACGGCATCGGCTACCCGCAGCCCAACCGCTCCCACTTCCGGTCGCGGGACATATGGTACACCGCGGAGCCTGAGACCATCGGCACCGAGGGCTGGCTGGGCGCAGCCATCCGCAACCTCGACGCCAAGGGCGAGAACGTGTTGACCGGTGTCAACTTTGGGCGCGGCCTCCCGCGCGCGCTGGTCGGTAGGGGCGTGCCGGTGGCCTCGGTGGGCAACCTCGAGACCTACGGCCTGCTCCCGGACATCGACGACGACAACGTCCGCCATCACGCCCTGGACGCATTGGGCCGTATGTACGGCCCCTCGGGCGGCAGGGACGTTGTGGCCCAGGCGCTCAGTGAGAACGGCGCCCAGGCCCTGATGGGTGCCGACATCCTGCGCACCGCGCCGGAGCGCTACTCCTCCAGCGTCGAGTACGCCGACGCTCCCATCTCAAACGGCCTGCGGAACGCGTCCCAGGTGATGAGCGCCGGTCTGGGTACCCGCATCCTCTACGCCCAGCACGGCAGCTTCGACACCCACAGCGACGAGCTGAGGGCCCACGGCAAGCTGTGGCGGACGCCTCCTCCGCCATCGCCTGCTTCACAGACGACCTCAAGGAGCAGGACTCTGGGAGGACACGCTGGTGCTGGTTTGGTCCGATCGGGCGTCGCGTCAGGGACAATGGCACCGCTGCGACCACGGGTCCGGCGGCGTCGAGCTTTCGTGTTCGGCGGATCGGTCCAGGGCGGCCTGTACGGCCAGTACCCATCCCTGCGGGAGGCCGACCTGTCGCGAGGCGACAATGGCCTACACCACCGACTTCCGCCTCCAACCTACGCGACCATCCTCGACCAGCTGGCTGGGCCTGGATCCGGACCCCAATCGTCCACGGCCAGTTCGAAGCAGTTCGACTTCGTCGCCGCTAGCCACCCTACGCTTCAAGAACAGAGACCGCCGGGAACGATCAAACCCGGCGGTCTTTTCCTGGAGAAGGAACGAAACTTGCGGCGTGCGTCTGCTCTGGCCTAGCCCGGCAGCAAGCCCTCGCCCACGAATAGTTCCTCGGCTTCCCGGAGGGTCAGGTCTGGCTCGGGCAGGATAAGGTCGGACTCCACCAGTTCATCCACGGGAACCTCTGTCCCGTTTTCCCGCACCAGGTCCAGCATCCTTTTCAGCAGAACTTCGTAGGCGGCCTGGTTCTCGGCCTCCACCGCCTCGACCAGCTCGTTGTCGATCTCGTTGAGCTGGTCGATGTAGGATCCCGGAAGGTTGTACTGGCCCTCGGAACTGATGCGGACGATCATCAGGAGCTACCGCCGCTGCGACGGGCCTTCAGGGCGGCCAGTTCGCTCTCGGCACTGCTGCTGACCGACATCTTCTCTAGCTCGCGGGTGATGTCGTCCTTGTTGCCGCCGCCGAATTCGTCCAGCACTCCTGTGTTGACCAGCTCGTCGATGGCGCCGGCGCGTGCGCGCATATTCTCCGTTTTGGTCTCGGCCCGCTCCACGGCCAGGCCCACGTCGCCCATCTCCTCGGAGATGCCGGAGAGGGCCGACCCAATGCGCACCTGGGCCTGGGCAGCGGTGAACTGGGCCTTGATGACCTCCTTCTGGAGCGGAAGGCGGCCACCTTGGCCGAGAGACGGGCCTCCGCCTGGGTCAGCTTTTCCTGCTCGACTTCCATGCCGGCGATCTGCCCATCCAGTCCCTCCAACTCCAGAGCGGAGGTGGTTCGTTCTTGCGCTCCAGTGCCATCAGGGCCAGGTCCTCGCGGTCCGAGTCCAGGGCCTGCTCGGCCTGCCGCTCCAGGCGGGCAATGTTCTCCCTCACCTTGTCGGCCTGCTGCTGGATCTGCCGCTTGGCCGCAACCATCTCGACCACGCCGCGCTTGACGTTGCGCAGCATTTCCAGCTGTTTCTCGTAGGAGTAGTCCAGCGTTTCCCTCGGGTCCTCCGCATTGTCCAGAATGCGGTTCATCTTTGACTTAACGATGGTGGACATACGCGAGAGCATCCCCATGATGTATCCCTCCCTTCTGTACGTTGAGGTTGGGGGACGAACTCAGTTCAGAATCCGCTCGATCCCCTGTTTCTTCCGCTGAAGGCGGAAATTCCGGCAATGACAACCACCACCACGCCAATGACGATGATGATGACACCCAGTACGTTCAGAAGCCACTCGAATAGATTGGACTGCACGAACCATCCCAGGACAATCAGGACAATTCCCACCACCAGCAGTGCTATGGGACTCATTTGAGGCTCCTCTGCATACGCAATGGGTTCCGGTAAGCTAAAGCATAATCCAAGGGTTCATTGCCCCGCAACAGAATACGGCCTCGTCGAGGGCAATCGCTCTTGGCTGGAGGGGAATTCAGCACATTTGTTGCCCCAAATGGCCGGGCTGCCTGGGGAAGGCGGTGTCCGTGCGGGAAAACGGGACAGAATTTTCCCGATCCAGTCCCAATTTTGTCCCATCCTGTCCCATTTCGCCCGAGCGATGTGCCGGATTTAAAGCTGAAACTCCGCTCTTTTGCTGTCGTGGAACAAAAAATTGCGATTCCCGTCCCATTTTGTCCCACTCGTTTTGTCCGGCCCAGAAAGGGAGCCTCGTGCTGTGTTGATTGACCAAATGTTCGACAATGTGCACGGAGTTCATGATAGTAGGGTGTCATGAGGCTTGGCAAGTACCAAACTTCAGAACACCAGGACGATTGCAAGGGCCCGGCCTGCGGCCCAAAAGATGGCTCCAGCGCCTGGGAAGGTATGGTTGCTGGTCGCAGGCGCAGATTGACCTGCACCCATGGCCTGAGTACACTCAATCCGTGGCCCCGCTTGGCCGCTGGAGATCTGACTATGTTGCGGTCCCTGTTCGGAAAAGGGAAAAAGCGCCGGGAGCCAGTCGGACCTGCCCATGATGAGAGCATCAGGGGAGCCCGCGTGGGCGACGTGCTGACGATCAACGGCTATTCCGTCGAGTACGACGAGCGGCTGTTATTCATCGAACGCATCCACCGTTACTCCAGCAAGGCTGATACCTGGTACGAGTTGCTCTGCGTCGACGGTGACGACCGCCTCTGGATCGACTGGACCGACGGACGCGAGCTTTCGACAACGGTGACGGAGGACACAGGTCCAGTTGGCCTGGGCAGCACCGGCCTGAGCGAAGAGGACCTCATCCAGTTGGACGAGGAGCAATCCATCGACAATTGCGTCACCATCGATGGCGACAACTACTTCTACAGGAACAGCGTCGAGGTGCTCTTTTTCCAGGACAGCAAGGGACCGGGAGATGCCTTTTATCACTGGGACTTCCAGCAGGAACAAGGCCAGCGGACACTGTCTATTATGAAGTGGCCGGAACGGCCCTTCGAGGTCGTATTCAGCGATGTCGTTGACCCCGAGACCATTACCCTCTACCAGGGCGAGCGGCGGATCTCCTGAAGCCGCAGCGCGCAACACATACACCAGCCGGAGCAAGCGATGATTGACGCATTTATCGACGCGCTACAATCTTTCCCCCGGGGGCTGGTGTTCGTCGCCGAGGGTCTGATCATACTGGTGCTGGCCAAGCTGGCCAGGGACGCAGTGACACGCAACTACCGGGTCGATGAGGAAGTGGTTGCCAAGGCCAACATCGCTGTGGCCCTGCGGCTGAGCGGCTACTTCATCGCCGTTATCCTGGTGTTCGTGGGATCCCTGTACGGCCCACCCTCCGGCGGCGGATGGTTCTCGTATGCCGCCCTGGCGGAAGCCGATCTACCCGCAGCGGGCGGGTTCGGGTTCAACCGGGAGCTGGGCGAGGAAGTACTGCGGGTGTTCCTGTACTCGCTTGGGGGAATCGTGGCGCTGAACCTGGTGCGGATGGTTTTCGATCGGCTGATTCTCTACCAGTTCCATCTGGAAAAGGAAGTGGTGGAAGACCGTAACGTCGGGGCCGGGGCCGCCGAGTTCGGGATGTACGTCGCCACCGGACTGCTGATCGCTGGCGCGGTGGCTGGCGATACCGTCACCAATGAGACCCAGGCAGCACTGGTAACACTGGCTTTCTTCGGCATGGGGCTGGTCCTGCTGGTGGCCTTCGCCCTGGCCTATGAGCTCACCACATCGTTCAAGATCCACGACGAAATCGAGGCCAATAACACGGCCGTTGGGGTGGCGCTCGGCGGCAACCTGATAGCCATCGGGTTGGTTACCATGAAAGCCGTGTTCGGGCAGTTCGAGAGTTGGGGAGAGAGCATCGCCGCATTCCTGGTGTTCGGGGTGCTGGGATTCATCCTGCTCTACGTGATGCGCCTGCTGTTCGACCTAGTGCTGCTGCCCACGGTTCGGGTCTCGCAGGCCCTGGCCGGAGACCGCAACGTGGGTGTGGCCTTCGTGGAGAGCGCGGTGGTGATCAGCTCGGCGCTGATCCTGTTCATGGCCGTCTAGGGGGCGTCACCGCCGGCCCGGTGAAGCAACTCGCGATCGGCAGCTTCCCGCCGTGCCTGCTCCTGCTGCTCCTCCAGCCAGGTGTAGCCGTGCTCCATGACTGCTTCCATGGCTTCGGGAGCGATGCCCTCGCGGTTTACGACCGGCTCCAGTACCGCCTCAAAAAACGCCTCGCTTTCCAGCACCTCGGCCCAGTCCCGCAGCCGCGCGTCCAGCGTGCCGTCATACAGGCGCAGCAGGAACACGGTTCGCATGGGGTCGAGCGCCTCAGCCAGGAAAGCCTCCACCCGCAGGTCCAGGCCGCGCCCGGTGCCAAACTCCACAACATCGCCGTCGGCATCGACCAGGGTGTCCTGGTAGTGGTCGTACTGGTCGATGTATGACTCGGTCTCGGACAGCAGACTGGCTATGAACCGCCTGCCCTCGGGCGTGATCGCCAAGGGGCCTGCTTCGTCGGATGCGCCCTCATCTGCGGGCTGCTGCGCGATGTTTCCCTGGGACTGCAGAAATTCCAGCGCTCTGGCGAGGCTCGACGCGGTTCCCGGCAACGGCCCGGGTGCGGCCATCTCGACCTCGTGTTTGTCCAGGAAGTACAGCACGGTCAGGGAGCGCATCCAGTCCCAGCAGCTCGTTGCGACTGTTCCACAGGCCATGCCGTGACGCGTATTCCAGCGGGCTGTACTGTTGCTCCAAGTGCAGGGACACGCTGCGGTCGTCCCCGTCAACCTGCAGGAGGCGTGAAACCAGTTCGTCCAACTCCGCCGGGGAACCGGCCGACGACACGGGCAGTGCGCAACGCCAGTCGCGCCACTCCTCGCAGACCGTCAGGAATACGGAGTAGATATCCGGCAGGTCGGGGTTGGCCCGGAGATCGAACCGCGCGGAGATCTCCCCCTGCATATCTTCGTCATCAGAAAAGACCCGGTCCAGCAACTGGGAGACCGAGAACTCCAGAAACTCGGGTGGCAGTTCCACCAGCAGCCGGTCTTCCCGCGACATGCCTGCCAGGGACACTTGGAGGGGTGAAGCGTTCGTCCGGACTGGCGATGCCTAGGACCTCAGGCGCACGCGAAAGGCGCCGCCACCGCCAAACCCGCCGCCGAAACTCCGGGATGACGAGCGAACTGAGCTACTGCGGGAGATAGAGTTGCTGGTGCGGAAAGATCCGCTGGTCCTCTGGGTTGACTGGTAGGAGCTGCGGTTGCCGCTGACGTTACCTCTGCTTGACTGGTAGCGCGACCCGGCGAAGGAGGCCTGCCTGGAGTTGTAGCTCGCGTTGCGCGAAGTCTGCCCGCCGTAGGCCGACGAGTTGCGGTAGGTGGTGCGCTGGTTGCGCATCTCCGTACCGCGGGATGGCGGCGTGCTGTAGTAATAGCCGCGCGGCCCGGAGAGAGATGAAATAATCAGGTAGGTGAAGAGAAAATCGCCAGCCCCGAAGTGGCTGTTGTAATACCCGTTGCCGTGGTAGCCGCGCATATCGTATTCATTGTCGCTTCCCCTGACTATGGAGAAGAGCTGATCGTCGGCGGCGTCGTCGATCTCGTTGTCGTTGTTCAGGTCCTCCCAGCCCTCCAGGGTCAGGGTTTGACCGTCCTGACTGGCCCGGATCAGGATGAGGCCGTCGCCCTCGTAGATTTCATTGACCCGCCGCTCGAACTCCGTGGCGCTGTCGGAGTCCTTGAATGCCTGCTGCACGTCGTCGAGGTTGATCCGCCCGGCGGCGCCGTCGGTGGCTGCCCAGTCATCGTACGAAGGGCCCCCGCATGCAGCGATCAGCGGCCCCGCGGCGACGATTCCGCCGAGGGACAGGGCTGTGCCGAGCCTCATCTTTCGCCAAACCATGCCGTTCTTCCCCCAATGAACTGCCGACATTGTACACCGCCGCCTTCGGCAGCCGTCATTCCCTCCCCAGGCAGCGCACGTTATATCAGTGTAATGCTCCCATGACCCTCGTCGACGGGCAGAGGTGCATCCATGGCCAGCAGCCGTTCGGTTGCGCCGCTGACCTTGACCGGCTGCGCGGCTTGTGTACCGGAAGCACCCGTCTGGAGAGTGGCCAATCGCGAAAGGAACTCCTCGTCCACCATATCCCAGAATGCGTTCCACGCCCCGGTGCAGCGCAGGATATATGCGGCGACCGAGGACTTGTGGTTGCTTCCGCTGAGCAGTTGTACGGCCAACAGGTCGCGCAGGGTGGTCAGGTGTCCGGGCCAGAGCTCGCCGCACACCTGCAGGTAGAGCAGGCGCGCCAGCTCCGGGAAGGCGCTCCCGCCGCATCTGCTGGCCAGGCGATCGAGTTGAGCGGTGAGCAGCTCCGCCAGTGACTCCGGCAGCAAGCCCAGATCCATCCCGTACAGGTGCGAGCACTCGACGCCGAAATCCCGCCGCAACTCTGCCTGCATCCGGCCAAACCGGACGGCGTAGTCATTGTCCACGTCAGGACCCAGGTGCTTGGCGGCCAAGCGAGAGGCCACCTTCGCGACTACCTGCTCGCACATGGGCCTGACCCGTTCCGTATCCGAGGCCAGGCCGATCAGCTCCTGGCGGCGCTGGTGGTAGAGGTGGGTCTGGTGGTCCAGCTCGGCGGCGTAGTCTTGTATCAGCGCACGCTGGGACTCACCCTCCCGGTCCGCGGCGTCCTGCAACTGCTGTATGCGCCGGGATACGTCCGGTCCCGTATAGCAAGTTAGCCCTGCCGCATCCATCCGGCGGCAATTGGCGAGCTTCAGGATTGCCTCGGCGTCTAGGTTGACCAGCCGGTCCTCCAGCGACAGGAAGGTCTGGGTCATCCCGAATTGCCCCTGCCTCCCGCTGCGGCCATTCAGCTGCAACGTGATCCGGCTGGAGTCATGCACCTCGGTGCCCATTACGCACAGGCCCGGAGCGAAGTCCAGTGTGGTGGTTCCAGGGCGGCCCGTCGCCTGCCCTAGCCGCCGTATACTGAAGCCGCAACCATCGTCTGATCGGTCGACCTGAAATGCTGCAATTTTGTTCAGCTCGTGTTCAAGCACCGCGGCCTGCTCCGCAGAGGGGCAGCATACCTCAAAAGTCCCAGGGTCCCCTGTCGCGCCGGTCAACACCCGTTCGATCTCGGAGGCACATCGTTGCGCCATCCGGTCATCGAGATTGGGTTCCAGCAGGATGTCCGTCCCGCGCCCTGCCATGTGAGTGGCCACAGTAACCGCGCCGAATGCCCCGGCGTCGCGCACGATCGCGGCTTCGGTGTGGGTGGTGACCGCGTTCAGCACCCGATGGGGAATTCGCCGTTCGCTCAGCAGGCCGGCCAGCTCCTCTGACTGCTCTACCGTGCGCGTGCCCACCAGCACCGGCTGCCCCGTCCGGTGCCGGGCCTCCACCTCGTCCACCACCGCTGCCAGCTTGTCCTCCCGCGACAGGTACACCGCTGGCGGGATGCTGGTCCGCAGGAGCGGATGCGCCGGAGGCACCACGGCGACTACCAGGCCGTACTTGCGTCGGAACTCTCCGGCGGCTGGTTCGGCGGTGCCGGTGATGCCCGCGACCTGGCCGTAGCGGCTGACCAAACCCGAGACCGATATCTGCGCCAGTGTCTCGTTTTCAGGCTGCACGGTCACCCCTTCCCGCGCCTCCACCGCCTGCTGCAGCCCGTGCTGGTAGATGCTGTCCGGTTTGGGCCGCCCCGTGTGCTGGTCGATGAGAACCACGCTGTCGTCATCAACGAGATAGTCCACGTCGCGTTGCTGCAGCAAGTGGGCGTGCAACGCCTGGGAGACCTGGTTGGCCACTCCGTACCGGCGGGCGCCGCGTCCCGCGGGGGGGGACGGGCGTCTGGCTGAACGGAGCGCGCCTCGTCCACGGGAGTCCTCTGACCCATCGTTTGGACCGTCGAAAATTGGGCCCAGCCGCTGCTCCAGGTGGTCCCGACCGGCGTCTGTGAGGCTGACATGCCTCCCGCCCGGGAGCGATGGCGTAGAACAGGCCGGTCGTGAGTGCCTGGTATTCGTCCTCCGCCAGTGCCCAGGCCCGCCGCATCCGGTGCGGCAAGGCCGCCAGGTGCTGTCGAAGTGTCTTGTTGTCCGGATTCGCCAGTATCAGTTTGGCCAGCAGGCGCAGGCGTTCCGGGGAGCGGTCGTCATTGGCATCGAGATCCTGGGCCAGTCCCTCTGCAAGGACTCGCTGCTCGGCAATCATGTCTGCCACGGCGCCGTTCACCCGCACCGCCCAGCGTGTGCCGCCCAAGGGATTGCCGGAGATGATCAGCGGCGTGTATGCCTCGTCGATCAGGGCGTGGTCGGCCTCGTCAACGATGGCAACGTCGAGGGGTTGCTGCACACGTTCCTCCGGCGCTGTCCCCAGGTGGTCCCTCAGATGATCGAACCCCAGCTCCCGCATCGCTCCGTATATGATGCCGCGCCTGTAGATGTGGCGGCGTTCCCTCCTCTCCATGTGGCCCAGCACGGCGCCGCAGTCGAGCCCCAGCGAACGGTAGACCGGCCCCAGCAGCGCGGCGTCCCGGTCGGCCAGGTAGTCGTTGGCCGTGATCACATGGACACGTCGGCCCAGCACGGCGTGAAGTGCGGCGGCGAAGGCGATGGCACGGTCTTGCCCTCGCCCGCGTCCATCTGCACCACCCTGCCCCGGAACAGGTGCCTGCCTGCCAGCAGTTGTTCGTCGGTCGCCCGGAATTGAAGGCGGGCATCGATATCGTGCCGTCGTGCTGCATCATAGAACGCACCGGGCAGCAGGATATCTCCATCGCGCCGAAAGCGCCGCTGGCGGGCCACGTCAGCGACGGTCTCTGCGATGATGGGCACATTGTCGCCGGTGGAATCTGCCGGCAAGTTGTCGCCGAAGAGCCGCCAGGCTCCCAGGCGTCGGTCGATGGCTTCGTTGACGATGGCGAAGCACTCCGGCAGCAGGGCGTCCGCCGGTTCTTGTGCCGTCCGCCCCATCAGGAGTCGAACGGACTCCCGCAACTCGCTGTCCGAGTGCGACGACAGGAGGTAGCTACGAATGAGAGCCAGCAGCCTCGCCGGAGTGTGCCTTCGAGGTCTCATGGGGGCCAGTGTATACCCGGCCCCGCGGGAGGGACAGGGCCCTAGTTCCGCAGACTGATGACGACCAGCCCGGCCTCGTGCCCAGCGCCGTCGCACAGGTCGATGCGGTGCAGCAGGTGGTCGCGGGACGACAATATTTTGGCGGCGACGTCCGGCTCGGCCTCCTGAAAGGCGCGGCCCAGCGGCGTGTCCAGCGTCCAGTCCTCGGTCACGGAGCATTGGAGCCGTCCCCGTCGGCATACCTCCAGGAACTGTTCTCGTTCGCGCTGGAACGCCTGCTCGCTGCGATAGGCGATCGGCGCGATGTGGTAGTCGGCGGAAAGGAAGAGTCCCAACTCGTTGTCGAAAACCTGCATCAAGTCTGAGAATGACATCCATCCCTCCAGGGCGAAGAACAGGTTTTCCGGAATGTCCTGGGGCACCCGGTGGTAGTAGAAATCCTCCTCGGCCTCGATCATCCTGACCGGTATGGGCCGCTTGTCCTCGCAGCGCAGCACGCGGTCGGCATCGCTCCCCTGCAGAAACAGGAAGGGTACGTTGCCGTTGGTGGAGTCCACCAGCACCTCCACGCCGTCGACCCGGTACAGCAGGGCCGTGTGCTGCCAGTAGCGCATGTAACGCTTGGCGAAGCTGGGGTCGAAAGTCCTCAGCAGTTCGCGCAGCTTGTCCACTGGGACCGGGCCCTCAGCGTCCGGACCGGCAATCAGGTACTCCGACTCGAGACCATAATGGTCGGTGAGGAATTTCAGAGCCTGCACCTTCTCCGAGCAGATGCCCCCGCCGCCATCCAGCAAGTTGTCGATGGTCTCGTCGCCCGACTTGTACACCAGCTTCCGGCCTGTGAAGCGAGAGTAGTTCTCGAAGCGGCTGTTCCAGACCCGGCGCGCCAGGGATTCCAGGAATCTCAGTTTCTGTCCAGCGGTGCGAAGCTCAAGCAGGTCATCCGCTTTCGCCTCACCGTGCTCGGTAACCAGGGTGTCTCGGACGAAGGAGGCGTAGTGTTCCGGGGCCCTCTGCCACTTGCGGGCGTGAAACCCGGTCCAGTTGCGGTCGTAGTCGCAGGCGATACGGTCGATCTCAATGTCCAGCAGCGCAATCTCCTGCCCCCCGACCTGAGCCGAATGCACCGTGGGCGAGTCGTTCAGCGCCATGGGTCGAGAGCCATCGGCGAAGGCGATGCCGTCGAACATCTCCCGCAGCTGCCCTGAATTGTCACAGGCGTACACCAGTCCCTGGATGGCGTACAGGGAGTCGGCCGAAGATGGGGTAATGCGCGATTCTTCCAGCATCCGGTCGATGGGCGCGTCCCTGAGGTAACGTTCCAGCAACCGCCCCAGGGGCAGTTCGGCATCGCCAGCTTCGAGGCGCAGTGAGCTTTCGCGGGTGGAGACCGCGTCTCGGATCTGCAAAACGTGTGGCTTAGGGGATGCTTGTTCCGGCAATGCTAGACCTTCGTCCGACCCTTGCAATCGCGGGCGATGAACCGTTCTAGGCCCTCATGGGATCGAGTGCCCAGCGGGCGGCGAATTCCCCGTAGGTCGGCTGGCTCTGGAGGACCAGTTCACTTCCGGTGGTCAGGGAATAGACTGACGGCAGGGCGACGCCATTGAACATGCTGGCCTTGGTCAGAGTGTAGGAGCCTGAGTTGCTGAACACCACCTTGTCCCCGACGCTCAGCGCTTGGTGAAAGCGGTAGGTCCCGAACATGTCGCCCGCCAGGCAGGTGCAGCCCGCCAGCAGGTACTCATAGGGCGCGTCACCATCGTGGCCCACTACCTCCGGCTGGAAACCGTACTCGAACACCTCCGGCATGTGGTTCACCGAGGTGTCCAGCACGGCGATGGTCGCGCCGCCGCTGCTGAACAGGTCGAGCACCGTGGCGACGAAGTACCCGGCGGCCCGTATCAGCCCGGAGCCGGGCTCGATAAAGACCTGAACTCCGAACTCCGACCACAGGCTGTCTATCGTCAGGCACAGGTCGCCAATGTTCTGGGAGGGTTCCCCCTCGTCGTCCTCGAACAGGTAGCCACCACCGAGATTGACCCATTCCACCCGCTCCAGCAGGCCGGGAATGCGGCCCCGCAGTCGTTCCACCGTGGCCCTCAGTTCCGCAAAGTCAGGCGAGTCGCAGTTGGAGTGGATCAACAGCCCTCGCACTCCATCCAGCCGTGCCGGTTCGTCGCGTAGCACGGTCTCCAGGTCGTCCAGCGGCACCCCCAGCTTGGAGTGGGGACGGCAGGGGTCGTAGCGTGAGTCATCGGCGAATGATAGCTGCGGGTTGATCCGCAGGCCGCAATTTGCACGTTCGCGCAGCATCGGAGAGTACATCGCCCACTGGCCCAGGGAGTTGAAGTCCACGTGGTCGCACAGCGATCCGATCTCGTCCATCTCATCGCCACGCAGCCCGGGCGTGGTGATATGCACCGAGCCGGAGTCGCCGAGCACGCTGCGCGCCAGTCGGGCCTCGAACAGCGAGCTTGCCGCAAATCCGTCCAGCCGGGGCGCCATCACCCGCAGCGCCGGGGCGAAGGAGAAGGACTTTATGGCGAACAGCACCCTGCACCGGGCGTCGTCACGTAGCGCCTTGGTGTAATCGAGAAGGCCATGGATGGTACGCTCGTCGTAGACCAACGCCGGGGTACGGATGGTGTAAAACCCGTCAGGGTATTGGTCGGGACAGTCCAGGCTGGCGGTTCGCATTGGCCGATTTCTAGCACAGCACCCATCGCCGGGCGCCTGACCTAATCCTGGCTCTTATGCGAGAAGGAAGACTTCTCAACGCTCACTGGGGCCAAGGGGCGCCGCACGGCAGCGGGATTTATCCCTGCCTTCAGGGCAGCCATCAACCCCGCAGCCTCCCAGTAGTTGGCGACCCGGTGGAACTGGCCCCGGCGCCACGGCAGAGCCGAAAGGTCGTTGCGCATCAGGTTGGCGTTCTCCTCAACCTCGATGACCGGGATGCCCTGCTCCAGCGCCGCCAGCGTCGGCAGCCCGAGGCAACCCTGCGGCAGCACCAGGCAGGAAACGTCGCGGGCGGTAAGCACACCCGGCTCCCGCATTGCCTCCCGGTCGGTGACGATGCGCGGACTCCTCTGCAGTCCCTTGAGCACCGACTGGAAAAAGGTCATCGACACCGCCTCGGCTGCCATCCGGGGATCGACAACCCCCACGTCCAGGTCCAGCACCTCCTGCGACTCCAGCATGGGCGAGTGGGCCGAGGGCACGTCGTAGCGGCTGGAGATGGCATGGGTCAGCATCGCCTCCACGCCACCCCAGGGATTGACCATGCCGCCGTCGCTGCTGAAGTAATCGCCGTGGTACTGGAACGGCACGGTTATCACCGACGACAGTGCCAGGGCGTCGTACTCGCCCCGCCGTGCGTCCAGCACATCAAACAGCCGCTCCACGTCCTCCACGCGCCCGGCGGCACGGGTGGAGCCAGTGTAGGTGGAGCGCATCACCAGGGGCGGGTCCAGGGCGACCACCCCGGGGCAGATCAGGCCATAGGAGGCAAGGGCCGCGTTCACTGCGTTTATAGCCAGTTCCGTGAACAACGGGTTGGCGTGAGAGTCCACCACCGCCAGCACCCGGTTGGCCCGGACCGGCTGCAGTCCCGCGGTGCCCATCAGCAGGCGGCATACCACGCTGCCCTCGACGTAGAGCGCGTTGGCGGGCATCTCGTTGATGTCGGAGGCATTCACAACGTTGGGATGCGTGATCAACGCGTCGCAGACGGACGCCAGCAGCCTCGCCACGGGGGTGGCATCCCCGGCATGCCCCCCGATGACCGCGCCGATGCCAGTGGGCACCAGCAGCACCGCGTTGAACTGCGAGGTGTTCTCCGAGAGGCGGGGACGGAACTCGGCAATGCTTTCCTTGGTCAGAGCGTTGGAAGGATCGTTGCCGGACCGTGGCGCGCCGGGGCCATCTTCAACCAGGGTCGTCACCTCGCAGCGGTAGCCCCGCTGGTTGGACTCGGTGACCACCAGCCGCAGGGGACTCTGGCCCTCGGGCAGCCGCTCCGCCATCTGCCGCGCCAGCCACGCCAGCAGTCCTGCGCCAGCCGGGGCCGGCGGTATGTCCAGTTCAGTTTCCGTCAGGTACAAGAGGTTGCTCTCCGCTGGGATTTAACGGGCTCCATGGTAACAGGGGGCATGGAATTGCCGGAATCTGGACTGGCGCACTGCCCGGTTTTATGACACTTGCCCCTTGCCAAGCCTCATGGCGATTCTCTATCGTTATTCTTGAATCCCATGACGGAACAGACCTCGGAGGAAACCGGCTCATCGAGAGCCCTGAACGGGGGGTTCTGGAAGTGACCGACCCAGGCAGTGCAACTGCCACCTGGTCGCGGGCGCATGAAAGGAAATGAGTGGGAATGATCGGAAATGATCGGAAAATAAGGTTTTTTGACGCTCCGTTTATGGTCACGGATGGCGCACGGCCCGCCATCGGCGTCTGCCAGGGGTCATTGTTGCCGTTGCCCGCTGCTTTAAGTAGAGGAGACGCTCAGAGCCTCGATCACCAAGGTTCGAAAGACGCCAGCCACCGCCCGACCTGAAAGCCAGCGCCAAGAGTGCGATCCGGCAACACAGGGAGATCGGTTGGGTCTAGCGGACACAAAATGTACAGCCAGGGTGAATCAGGGACGGCAATCGGATCCTGTTACGTTAGCCGGCACTGAGTTCCACAAGACTCTGGTCCACATCCTCCGCTTCCAGCGACAATCGTTCCCATTCGTCCCAAAGGGTCTGTTCCTCTTCCTTGAGGATCCGGTAGCGTTCGCTCGAGGCCTCCAGCTGGGCCCAATCGTCGAACCTCTCGGGGCTGGCGAACATGGCTTCCAGCTCGGCGCTGAGGGCCTCCCGCTCGCTGATGGCGGTGCCGAGCTCGTCAATCCGGGCGGCAAGTTTGCGTGCCTGCCTGCCCAGGGCTCGCTGATGCTCCTCCTTGGCCGTCAGGATCCGCCCCGGACGTCGGCCGCGCTTCGCACCGCCAGCGGCGTCGGGTTCCTTGGCGTTGCTGCCCGCCGGAGCGGGCTTTGTCTCGGCTTCCTGCTGCTTCCAGAGCAGGTAACCGTCGTAGTCCCCGTGGAAGACCCTGGGCACTCCCCCGTCTATCTCAATGATCTTGTTCGCCACCTGCCTGATTAGGGTGCGGTCGTGTGTAACAAGGCAGATGGTGCCGTGGTAGTCGCCGAGAGCATCGGCCAGGATCTCCCGGGATGCAATGTCCAGGTGGTTGGTTGGCTCATCCATCAGCAGGATATTGCTGGGCTGGAGGAGCAGCTTGGCCAGCGCGACCCGCGCCTTTTCGCCACCGGACAGGACGTCGATACGCTTGAGGATGTCGTCCCCGCTGAACAGAAATCCGCCCAAGGTCGTCCGCAGGTTCTGCTCGGACTCCGCAGGCGCGATCTCCCGCAGTTCCTCGAGGGGATTGTTGCTTGGGTCGAGCAGGTCCAGCACGTGCTGGGCGTAGTAGGCGGGAATGACGTTGTAGCCAAGCTTGCGTTGCCCGTTGTCGATGGGCAGAACGCCGGCAAGAATCTTGAGCATGGTGGATTTGCCGGCTCCGTTGGGACCGACCAGGGCAACCCGGTCGCCCCGCTCCAGCGTCAGGTTCACCCCGCGATATACAACATTGTTGCCGTACGATTTGCCGACGTTGGCCAGCGTGAGTACGTCCAGACCGCTTCGCGGCGGCTCAGGGAATGAGAATCGCACCTTCCTGGTCGCACGAGGCAACTCAATGACTTGGATCTTTTCCAGTTGCTTGATCCGGCTCTGCACCTGGGTGGCCTTTGGTCGCCTTGGAGCGGAAGCGGTCGATGAACTTCATCTGCCGCTGTATCTCGCGTTCCTGCCGAGCGGCGGCCGCCTGTTTTATCTCCAGCGCCCTCTCTCGGGCGAGCAGGTAATCGTCGTAGTTGCCCCGGTGATTCACGACCTCCCCGGGTTCGATGGCCAGGATCCGGTTGGCAACCTGGTTCAGAAAAGCCCGGTCGTGGGACGTTATCACCACTCCGCCGGGGAAGGAGGACAGGTACTTCTCGAACCAGAGGTTGGCTTCAAGGTCCAGGTGGTTGGTCGGCTCGTCCAGCAGGAGAAGGTCGGGCTTTCGGAACAGCAGCCGGGCCAGTTCGGCCCGCATTATCCAACCGCCGCTGAACTCGTTCATGCCTCGGGAGAAATCACTCTCCTTGAAGCCGAGGCCCGACAGGATGGCTTTCGCCTCATGGTCGCGGTCGTCACCACCCGCGGCTTCCATATCCTCGTCAAGTCGAGAGAGCAGGTCGGTCAGCTCTTGCTGTTCCAAGGGATCCGTCGCCGACGACAGGGCCTCCCTTGTGGTGGCAATGCGGCTCGCCAGGGCGACCGCCTCCTGGTTGGCGTTCAGCACCTCTTGGAGCAGCGACTGGCCGGCAAAGTCGCCCGGTTCCTGCTTCAGGTAGCCAACCTTGGCGTTGCGCCGCTGGGATATTGTCCCGCCGTCTGGCAGGGACTGACCGGCAAGAATGTCAAGGAGGGTGGTCTTGCCCGAACCGTTGGCGCCAATCAGCGCAATACGGTCGCCGGCTGCCAGGGAGAGGTTCAGCCCGCTGAACAAGGTGCGTTCAGAATAGGCCTTGCTGATGTCAGAAGCGAGTAACATACGTTAGCGTCGGGAAAGCGATTGTATCATCCAACCCGACTACAGACCTGCCTGGGACACGGAATGCACGGATACTAGATTATCGCAAATATCACAATTCGTCATACCTCTAATAACGGCAATTCGGGGAATTCGCCCGCACAGAACGCCGGATTCCTGCCCAGCCAAGCGACTTGGCCGATACCGGCCAGAGGGGCATGTCTCCTCAGAGGCAGGGAAGGCGATCGGGAATCCGGTGCCGTATGCCAATGGCGCCCTGAAGTGCCGCCGAGGGCCGCAAAGATGCCTCAGCCGCCTGCAACCAAAAGTCGACTGATGGACATTTGCCCCTTGCCAAGCCTCATGACGCACCTCTACCTTCGAATACTGCGGACCCGAAGGCACGCAAATCCAGCGCGGCGACCGACCCACCGAGTGAATCAGTGGCCAACATCACCCCATCAGTCACCCATACGCACAGCCTGCCGCGACCTGCAGGCAAGACCACCCCTTGGGAGCAGGAAACACCCTCACGGAGGCGAGGCAGGGCAGCACCCTCGAATTGCAAATAATGCGCAGAATTGCACACTTCCGACCCCCTTTTTGCGCTTACATGTACCGTGGTAGCGCCCTCCCCATGCACCACCAAACGTCACTTGACTTCACCATTCCTATGGCTGCAAGAGGAAGGAAAACTGAGGTCGAGGAAGGAAGATACGGACCTCTTTTGGTGGCCGCTCTAAAGCCCGGAGATCCGCACAGAAGCTATGCGTTTTTCCGCAATAGCGGATCAGCGGGCGTTGAGGGCGGAGTACTCGGGCTGTCTGCATTGCACAAATTGGAGTCGTGACTTGAGGGACGATAACCGCCGCAGGGACTTCCTGCTCCGGGCAAGGACCCGTTAATCATGGCGCCGCCGACAAGCCCGTGATACGCTGATTTGGACATAACTCATGCTCACAGTACCTTTGGAAAGCAGGCGCAGGCCGAATATGAGCCAGCCACTGGTCGCACCCTATGGCACCTGGAAATCTCCCGTCTCGCTGGAAATGGTGGGGCACGGCACCGCCAGCCTGCTTCGCATAGCCCTGGACGGTCCCGACACTTACTGGGCAGAGGTTCGACCAGCCGAGGATGGCCGGACTGTCATCGTGAAACGCACTCCCGACGGCAAATTGGTGGACATAACTCCACCCGGCTTAAGTTCGGTCTCCCTGGTGAACGAGTACGGCGCCCGCAGCTACACCGTAGCTAATGGGGTCGTGTATTTCTCCAACAATTCTGACCAGCGGGTCTACCGGCAGCGGCCGGGTGAAGCCCCTGTTCCCATTACGACCGAGACCGGTTTCCGGTATGGAACCAGGGTGGTCGATCAGGGACGCGGCCGTATCGTCTGCATTCGGGAAAACCACACCGACCCCGACGAGGATCATCCTCTCAGCGAAATTGTCGCCTTGGACTTTGAAGGTAATCGGGAACCCCAAGTCCTGCTGGCCGACAACGATTTCCACAGTTCGCCCCGTCTCAGTCCCGATGGAAAACAGCTGGCGTGGCTCACCTGGGACCACCCCAATATGCCATGGGACGGCACGGAGCTATGGGCGGCCCCGTTTGAGGAAGACGGAAGCCTGGGAGCAGCGACCTTCGTTGCCGGCGGCGTGGACGAGGCAGTCATACAACCGGAATGGTCCCCGGCAGGCGAGCTTTTCTTCATCTCCGACCGCAGCAATTGGGCCAACCTCTACCGCTGGCGTGATGGAGAGGTGGAACCGGTCTATGAGATGGAGGCCGAGTTCTCCCGGGCAAACTGGTGGGTGGGTATGTCCTCCTACGGGTTCGACTCGCCTGGCAGTCTGGTATGCAGCTACGCTCAGAATGGTTTCTGGAGGCTTGCCCGGATTTTTCCGTACGAGGAGCGGCCCGAAAAGCGCTTTGAGCGCATCGTAACCCCCTACTGGGAAATGGGACAGGGCGATCTCCAGGCCGGTCAGGACCGGGTAGTTCTGGTTGCAGGTTCACCTGACCACCCCATGTCGCTCCTGGAAGTCACCCTCGAGGACAGGCAGCTCAACGTCCTGCGGGTGGAAAGCGACGACGAACTGCCGCCGGGCTACCTGTCCATACCAGAGGCCATCGAATTTCCCACCACCAACGAGCAGACGTCCCATGCCTTCTTTTCCCGCCCACCAACCAGGACTACATCGCTCCCGAAGGCGAAAAGCCACCGTTGCTGGTTACCTGCCACGGCGGCCCCCACAGCGCGGCCTCCGCAGAGTTGAATCTCACCGTTCAGTACTGGACCAGCCGCGGCATAGCCGTTCTGGACGTCAACTACGGCGGCAGCACCGGGTTCGGTAGAGAGTTTCGGGAACGCCTTATCGGAGAGTGGGGAGTCGTGGACGTAGACGACTGTGTGAACGCCGCCCTCTACGTGGTGGAGCGGGGAGACGCGGATGGCGATCGTACCGCCATCAATGGAGGCAGCGCCGGCGGCTTCACGGCCTTGGCAGCCCTCACCTTCCGGGACGTCTTCAAGGCCGGGGCCAGCTACTTCGGCGTCAGCGACCTTGAAGCACTTCTAAGCGGCATCCACAAGTTCGACGCCCACAGCCTGGTGGGACTGGTCGGCCCTTATCCCCTCTATCGCAGGAGATACGTGGGACGCTCACCCATCAACTTTTCCCAGTACGCCACCTGCCCGGTAATATTCTTCCAAGGCATGGAGGACACCATAGTCCCGGCCATACAGTCAGAGGAGATGTTCAACACGCTCAGGGATAACGGGGTCCCAACGGCCTATCTCACCTTCGAGGGAGAGCATCACGGCTTTCTCATGGCGGAGACCATCATGCAGTGTCTCTCCGCCGAGTTCTACTTCTACTCTCGTATATTCGGCTTCAACCCCGCCGACCACCTGGAGCCAATTCCAATAGAAAACCTCCCCCTCGGCAGCGGGATCTAGACCAGCAGGCTCAGCGACGCGGTGGCTATACCCAGAAACAGCAGGAAACCAAAGACGTCGGTAAAAGTGGTTACCACGATCGCCGATGCCACAGCCGGGTCAACGCCCACCCGGCGCAGGAAGAGCGGCCCGCCCGCCTCCACGGTTCCGGCGATAATCATGTTACCCAGCATGACGGCGCCCAATACCAGCCCCAGGGCCGGGTTCTGCTGCCAGGCGATAGCTATGACGGCCACCAGCACCCCGAGCCACAAGCCCGTTGAGCAGCCCCAGGAAAGCCTCCCTCGCAAGGAGCCGAGCGGAATTTACCCCAACCAGTTCCCCCAAAGCTATGGCTCGGACCAACAGCGTCAAAGTATGCGTTCCACCAATTCCCCCCTGCCCCGCCACGACGGGCAGGAATGCTGCCAGCACCACGACTTTCGCCAGGGTGGACTCGAAGAGGGCAATCATCGCTGCAGCAAGAAAAGTCGTGCCAAGGTTCAAAGTCAGCCACGGAAGGCGGGTGCGCAAGGAGCCCACGATTGGACCGTCGAAGGCCTCGCTGGCCACGCCAGTTGGCTGCAGCATCTGGCGGGTGTCCTGTTCGACCGCAGCGCTCAACAGGGATTCGGCAGGAATCACTCCAATCAACCTGCCTTCATCCACGACAGGCAGTTGCGTCAGGTTGTAGTGCCGCCGCAACCGCGCGCACTCCTCCGCAGACGTGGAGACGGAGACGGATGTCAACACGGGCGCCGCGATTTCCCGCACAGGCGTAACGGCCTCGGCGAGCGCCAGGTCGACCATGTTGATCTGACTGGCGAGCCCGCCTTGGTCGTTGAGAACAAAGACATGGGTGAATTGATAGCGCATCTCGCCCATTTCCTGCAGGCTGCCAATCGCCGACATAGCCATCTCATGCATGCCAACCACCGGGAACTGGTTGACCATGATGGCGCCAGCGGTGTCCGGCTTGTGCTCAAGCAGGGCGGTATCCGGCAATGGCTGTTCCAGGGACTCGATCACCTCTCGAGCCTGGGATTTGGGGAGGCGCAATAGTGTTTCCAGGGCAACTTGCGGGCGTACTTGGTTCAGGACGAAGGAAAGAGCCCGGGACCCGATGCGAGCCGAGAGGCGCCCCGCGTCCATGGGGTTCATCTGCCGCAATATCGACGCAAAGGTTTCGGGAGACATAACTCTCACCAAGACGTCTCGGCTGCCCTTTGGCAGCGAGGCGACGATTACTCCTACGTCCGCCGGATGGAGATGCCTGACCATCTCCCACGCGCTGCGCTTATCACCTGTTCCAATCAGGCGCTGGACATCCCTGGCGATCTGCGTTGCCCTGTCGCGTGATATCACAGGTGGGTTCGGTCGTCTTGAGGATGCCATAATCAGTCCAATCCATTGATGTAATGATGTAAATTGTGGGCAATCCGGAAAGGGAACAGGCAAGCGACCCCCTGCCACAAATACAGCAGGGGTGGGTTTCTACCCCGCCCCTGCACTAGCCCATCGTTGGGTCATTTGGCTCTCAAGCCACTGTTGTTTCAATGCTGATTAGGGCAACGGCAAACCCACAACATCCTGAGCGGACAAACCCGGATTCAGCAGCCGGATATATTACAGAGAGAAAGCTAACCCCGTGCCGCTGCCGCCTGTTCCCTTTGCCGGCGGGCCAGCCAGTTGCGGTCCGCCTCCGACTCGACGAGTTCGTCGTCAAAGAACCCATGTCCCCGCTTGACCATGTGCATAGCCTCGTAGAAGAGCAGCCACACGATGTGGCGCACCACCTCGTCAGGCACGCCGTTGGCATAGAAGGAGCGGGGGTTCATATCGGGGTCGGCGTTCACATAGTCCACGGCGTAGAATTTGCCGTCCTGGTGCAGGCAGATTTCCGACGTGAACTTCTTCATGCGGGAGACTCTGGCAATGCTTCGCATGATTTGCCTCAGGGGTCGAAGGTGATAGGTCCTTATCTCGCCCGGCGTCACCATCTGGTACTCGTGGGTCTCGGGATTCCACCAGCACGGTATTACTTCCCGGCAGACGTGAAACATGCGGAACCACGCCACGTGAATACCGAGATTCTTGGGCTCCAGGCGCTTCTGGATCAGGAAGGAATCAGCGTTTGGCGCCTGTTCCGCCGACCAGAGCAGGGCCTCCTCCGAGTCGGCGTCCACCACTACTCCCACGCCGGAATCGCCCCAAGCGGGCTTGACCACGTATGGCACGCCGATCCTGGCCTTGGATTCATCGTCCAATCGGAAGGTCGCTATTTCCTCCCGCGGCACGATCACCGACTCAGGAACCGGCACCCCGTTTTCTATCAGTCTGTTGTGCAGGCGACCCTTGTGGGCCGACACCGCGGTGATGTCCGGGTCGTCAATGACGTAGCCGCCGTTCCGCTTCACCTCATTGGCCAAGCGGACGTAGGGGTCAGTTGCCAGTGTCTGGTTGGCGGTGAGGTCCAGAAGCACCTTTGCCGACACTTCTCCAGCCACCAGTTTCTGGTAGAACTCGTCGACCCAAGTGTCGTTGCAAAAGAAGAACGTCAGGTTATTCTGCCCGCACAGTTCCCGCATCTTGTGGGCAAAGAAGTTGTAATTGGGGAATGGAGTCGCCAGGACGATATCGTAGGATTCAGCCATTGCGCACCTGCAGTACTATTTCGGGTCGGACTTGAGCGATTGCCGCCAATGGTTCATTTGGACTGCAACACAATGGTAAATCTCACTGGAACCGAATGTCCCCGCATCGGGCTATTACTTTTGACAGAAGTACACACCCCAGCCCAGTTCCTGCCTTTCCACTGCCAGCACCATCTGGTCATAGGCCCGGGAGAGGCCTTCGTAAACCTCCGGGTCCTTCTCTCGCTGGGACATGGCCATCTGAGACAGGCAGCCATAGCTCCTGCCCAGGTGCTCGGAGAGGTCATGGGCCTCCAACACCCGGAATCCAACCTGCCTCAGCGCGTCCTGGTAGCCGGTGAAACTGTAGTCGGTATTGAAGAGCAGCCGGTCGTAGACATAGCGGCGGGCGTCGTCGCTGATGTCGGGCCTGGGCTTGGTGAGGTCGTCGAAGACCAGGAGGCCGCCCGGTGCCAGCACCCGATAGGCCTCCTGCAGGGCCTTCTCCTTATCGTGAACGTGGTAGATGGTGGCCTGGCTCCAGACATGGCTGAAGGCCCCTCCTTGAACGGCAAGTCCGTGGCCGAGGCTTTCTCGAACTTCAGGCGGCTCCGAACGTCGGCCGGCTCGGCCACCGAGGACTCCATGGCGTTGTTGATGCGTACGCCGCTTAGGTCTATGCCTGTCACTCGGCATCCGGCGCTGCGGCACAACCAGGTAGAGGTGTTTCCGTTGCCGCAGCCCATGTCCAGCACAATGGATTCGGGCTGAATCTTGGCCTTTTCTAGCATCACGCCGTTGAGGTTGGCGCAGGCGGCGAGGAAATCGTCGCCGGTCTGCTCATCGAACCAGCCCCAGTGGAGGCTGCCCTCCCGGTCCCAGAACGATCGGTAAAGGGCGTCCTCCGCGTCGTAAAATGCCTCGGTGTCCTGCTCAGAAAAGCGGCTGCTCATACTTTGCATCTCCAATGTATTCTGGATTTTGCATGCTCCTGCCGGTTGGCGCGCCACAGGACAATATCACCCTAACGCAATGCGCAAACTCCGGTGAACCCTACATTCAAGTATTTGTCGTGGGCAAAGCAAAGTAACATAAGGTACCCAACGGAGTATCCCAGACCTCTTCCATAGCCCGGACAGCCTTGTTGGGCTTGGTGGAAGTCAACTGCACGGGGCTGAGCGGCTTCGCAGATTGGCTAATATGAGGAGTTGCCCCTAATACCTGTTGGCGGTCCCGATCTTCATAGTCAACGGAGCGGAACTTGGCATCGCTGATTATTCCGGTCTTCATGGCATAGGCCGCGGCCTGCTGCTGGTCGCGGAGCTGGAGCTTGCCGAGGATGTTTCGCATGGGCACCTTTACGGTGTTTTCGGCGATCATCAGCGCCCCCGATATCTCCAGGTTGGAAGCGCCTTGGACCACGTGGCCGAGAATCTCCAGTTCCGGTTCAGAAAGGTCGTGGTCTGCCTCGCCTTCTGACCTAGTCTGGTTCTCCGGGCACAATGTGAGAGAGGTTGGATACCAGCGGAGAGGAAACGAGCACATGTCCGTCTGAGACCAGGCGCAGGCAGAGCGCCAGTCTTTCCGGGTCGGTTTTCATTGACACAAAGGAGGAGGCTCCGGCGCGGATGGAAGCCTCGAGGTGAGCCAAATCGTCGGACCCCGTCAACACCGCCACGGCAGTGTCGGGAAACGAGTTCCTGATGAGGCCAAGGGTCCCCTTAAGGTCAAGGTCCGGAAACTTAGAGTCAACGACTACAAGATTGGGTTTCTTTATTGTGGTCTCGTATCGTACGCTTCCTCGCCGTGTTGGGAGAGGTCCAGTCCCTCCTCTTCCTGCCGCTCGTCGACTCGCAAACCTATGGTGTACTTCAGCACAACCAGAATTCCCAAAGTTGTGACGAACGCCCAGCCAAAGGACGCGCCGATGGCCATCAATTGCATCAAGACCTGTCTGCCCCTGCTCAGGTCGGTGAGTTCGCCCAAGGTCATGAAGCCGACGCCAATGAATAGGCCGGCGGCCAGCATGCCCCAAATTCCGCCCACCCCGTGAATAGCCCAAACGTCGAGGGAGTCGTCAAGCCTCACGCGGGTCTTGACCCAGACGGCGGTGTAACAAAGGGCCCCAGCACCCAGCCCAATAACCACCGCGGGCATGGGTCCCACGAAGCCGGAGGCGGGAGTGATAGTGGCCAGACCTGCAACTGCTCCGGTCGCGGCTCCAACGACGCTGGGTCTTCGATTAATCATCCAGTCCAGGGAGACCCACACCACCGCGGCGGTTGACGCCGATATGTGCGTAACTACGAAGGCGGAGGTAGCTCTGCCGGCTGAGCCCAGTTCACTTCCGGCATTGAAGCCAAACCAGCCAAACCACAGGAGCGAGGCACCCAGAACTACGAAGGGCACGTTGTGGGGTGCCATTTCCATTTGACCGAACCCCAAGCGCCTGCCGAAGATGAGGGCCGCCGCGAGGGCCGCTGCCCCGGAACTGACGTGCACGACCGCGCCACCGGCGAAGTCCAGTGCGCCTGCCTCTCCCAGCCACCCTCCCGATCCCCACATCCAGTGGGCCAGCGGCGTGTATACGATGGTTGACCAGGCCACCACGAAGATGACGAAGGTGCTGAACTTGATGCGCTCGGCGAAGGCCCCGGCGATCAGCGCCGGTGTGATGATGGCGAACTTGGCTTGAAACACCATGAAGGCCTGGTGCGGAATCGTCTCGGCGTACGGGCCAGCCTCGGTGGCGGAAACACCGTGAAGCCCCGCCCATTCCAGGTTGCCGATGAAGCCAAAGCCGCCCACGTCGGGGCCAAAGGAGAGGCTGTAACCAAACAGTATCCAGGTCAGTCCCACTATTGCGAGAGCAATAAAGGACTGCAACAGGGTGCTGAGCGCGTTTTTGCCCCGGACAAGTCCGGCGTAAAAGAATGCCAGCCCCGGGACCATGATAAAGACCAGGGCGGACGAAGTGAGCACCCAGGCGGTATCGCCGTTATCTATCATCGAGTGCCTCGGTCCGGTTGAATAGCCCCTTTGGTACTCTGCACACTATAAAGAGAGGGTATCCAATAATTCAATTGCTAAGCTAAAGGCAAGGCAAGGCAAGGCAAGGCAAGGCAAGGCAAAGTAAGAGGTGCATTTGCTGTGGGTCGGGAATCGGGTGTAGGGGGTGTCGTCAAAATAATCTGCTCCAAATTACCAGTGCCCTGATTTGGCAAATGGCCAGGAAGGACGCTTCGTTCTTGGCATATCTAGTCGCTACTGCCCGCCATTGCTTGAAGTCCAGAAATGAGTTCTCCACTAAATGACGTAGTTTATACAATGCCCGGTCGTAGGACCGGGGTTCCTTGAGGTGACGCCTCGGTGGAATCACCGGTTCCATCCCTCGTGCCTCGGCTTCTGCCACAATGGCGTTGGTATCGTAGCCTCGGTCGGCCAGCAGATATTTGGCTGCGATACCTGCAATCAGCGAATGCGCCTGGGTGCAGTCTGCCACCGTGCCTTCGGTCAGGCTCAAGCGCACCGGCATACCGTGGGAATCCACTGCCTGGTGCAGTTTGCGGTTCAGCCCCCTTTTGTGCGACCGATGACCTGATTGCCTCCCCGTGCTCCAGTCCCATGGGGATGGGCCTTAATGTAGCTGGCGTCGATCATCAGCCACTCAAAGTCCGGATCGTCAATTACCGCATCCAGCATTTGCTCCCAGACACCCCGGTCCCGCCATCGACAAAAGCGGCGATGGGTGTTCTTCCAGTCCCCGTAATCCTGCGGCAAATCCCGCCACGGAGCACCGGTACGCAGAATCCAGAACATCGCGTTCAGAAACAACCGGTTGTCTCGAGCCGGCCTACCCCTTTTGCCTCCGTCTCCAGGCAAAAGGGGTCGCAATCGTTCCCAAACCTGGTCCGAAATATCGTGACGTCGATGCGCTGCTGTCATAGTCCCACCCCGCACTCTCACATTCTCCCCAGAAATCTACCATCATAT